CAGTCTTGCATGATGCATCCATGTGATACTACTTTGAACAAGCTTTACACATTGAGCTATTATGTGATATTCAAGGCTAAACCTCATTTGTTTGGTCCATCATCTTTGAAAAGAGATAGAGAAGGAAGCTCTTTTGCTCTGAAGGAAAGAGATCTGATTTTTTTGTTTGTTTGTTTTTTGTTTTGTTTTGATGAGGGGGTCTAATACTGAATTCTCTTTGACAGTTCATTCCACAAAGAGGCCTAAAGCCTACAGAATATAAAAGTGCCTTTGCACAATAAATCCTATTAACTACATTAGTGGTTTTATGATCTGTTTTCAACTAGTTGAAATGTAACATTTATTGCTTGATTGGGCTACAAACATGTACTAGCATGATAACACATAGGGGTATTTCTCAACAGTGAGTGCAGCGATACACCTTGGCAGAAATATGTTGAAGCATGTCTTTTAAAAGATCTGTAATTTTCAGTAAAATGCTCTACTGACACCGAGTGATGTGTGATGAGATACTGTCTTAAATGACATTATAGAATTTAAATGATGACATAGGCTAAATCCAGAAGGAAAAAAATATTGCAGTGTTAGATCTTGTGATCTTTGAGGATAGTTTCCATTAAAAAAATCATTGCATGTACAAAAGCTGAGGGCACTTTGACAAGGTGAAGGCCATGTATGGAGTTGAAAACTCTTTTCTTGGCATTTACCTTTAATTACAAATTCATGGCTTCATTTGCTAAATCATAATATATAAATTTGCAATTAATGTGGCTGGACTCACTAAGTATTTTAGTAAGCTGTCTAATATAGCATATTTCTTTGTTGCTTAGACATTAATCAGTTAAATAACTCATCTGAAATATGTTGAGCATGCATTTAATTTATTTTGTACTATTTTAAGATTTGAATCTCTGTTACATATCTATCTATTTTCTTTCTTTTGATATATATATTTTTTAATTTTTAAGAAATGAATTCACTTTTTGTATTTATTTTGCCAGGTGATGCGACTGAACTTAAAGTAAATTATGACAATAAAATAAAATATGAAGTTCTTATGACTTGCTTTTTTATACATCTTGATTAATTACTGTCCGGTTGAAAAGTTCTGAATTTGTTGAACTTTGAAAAGTATCTGAAAACTCATTTACAGCTAATTTTTTGCCAAGCTAATATGCCAGAAGCAAAAGCTGTTTCCAAAATTATGACATGCTAAGAATACCAGAATTGCTGAAAAAGAAAATCAGAGAATCGCCAAATTCTGCAATCTGCACAATTTTGGCCTTCATGGCAGCCAATGATAAATGAAGCAAACAGTTGTTGTGAATGAGACATTGTTATCTTCAAATCAGTTTCTGACATTCTTTGTAACATCTCTCTTGCAATTTTTTGTAATGCATTTTTATAAAATATGTTCGTTTAAGATGTACAGTCAAAAGTCGTTAATTCGGACACCTATATCCGGAATGATCTATAATCCGGACCTCAAAGCTAAAAACTTTCTGCGCATGCGCAGGTTGACACATGCCGCAGGCTGTACGCGTGCGCGTAAGACTCTTACGACTGCGCATTGCGTGTGCGCAGCGCAGAATACGTTTTCGCTTGGCCGTTTTATGTATAACGGACGGTATAATCTAAAATTATTAAATTATCTAATTATCTATTTCAGTAATGTTGATGATTGGTTGTTCCTTAATCTTCGAATTGGATCCGGCTTATATTTTTTGCAGACTGTAAGAGCAATTTATAAAAAGAAACTGAACTTTCGTTATGTCAAATAGAATTTCCAATCTGGAGCTCCCAAATATCGACAAAACGAAAGTATGTTTCAATAACCATCAAACAAAAGTGGAACTGCTGAAAATGGATAAAGACATGAAGAATGTGACAGAGAGGTTAGTGAAAACGAAAAAATTTCGATTGAAAGTTAGTCGGTATTCTCGGCCAGCATTAACGGACTTGACAGCGGAACTTTGTACTGAACAAGAAATTGTCTGTTTATAGAATTAAAGAGAAAGTATATCACATAAAACGAAGCAACTTAAACAACTTACATTAAAGAAACTTTAATAAAGTAAACAAATAAATATTAAGCTTTTTTTTTTTGTAAATTTTGATACCCTTTAGATCATAATTTTCTTTATTTCATAAATTACGGTTCATATTTTTTAATTTTAGAATTTCTGCATGCCATCTTACGCGATTTAAACTGATGATCTATAATCCGGAAAAATCAATAATTCGGAATCGCCGAAGTCCCGACGAGTCCAGATTAACGACTTTTGACTGTATCAAAGTGCATGTTTGCATGTTTTGTTGGACAAAATGTCATATTTCTGCCAAAATGCAGCTCTTTCCTTTTCATCATTTGCAAACTCCACAGTCATTTGTTAAGTTAAGTCATTTGTTTGTTTGCCATTTGTTAAGATAAAACAAAATACAATGGCTGCTTTAAAAAATAATTGGTGACCTCAAAATTAACATTCTACACTCTCCCTTAGGTTAGTTATTGGTTAGTTAGCAGTGTTTTCGACGTTAACACTGCTAACTAACCAATCATAGATTAGTACATCAAACTTGGTATAAATACCCCTGGCAGCTAATTACATCACTTCTTCGGCTAGCTTCTACCTTGCTAATATCTCCTTGCTTTACTTCTGTGTCTAAAATGCCTGCGTCTTAATTTTAACACTTGGCATGCGGGCAACGTATTTTTAAGCTTTTTGCAGTCTGTCATTGGAGCGCGGGTCACATAAAAATACGTATTTAGTAGATTTGTGGTGGATAGCGAGTATCTACCACAAATTTATTAAATATATATAATTACTGTATTTGACAGCATATAAGATGCACTGGCATGTAAGACGCACTCTTATTTAGATGGCCACACACAAGGAAAAAAAGTTTCAATAGTGTGGTTTCTTTTAGTTCTCACGTTTCGTAAAAGCCAAATAAACAATTATTGAATGCAGTTACCTTCACGTATAAGACGCAGGTAACTTTTTTGAGACCAAATTTAGGAAAAAAAAGTGCGTATTATATGCCGTCAAATACGGTATATATATTTGTGACATTATATGCGGATTGCTTTTGCAGAAAAAAAGATGTATTGGTACAAGTTTGGCAATCCAAGAAAGAAGTCAGTCTCATCTCTTCAATACATTCTGCGGAAATGAAAGAAAGTAGTAACGTTGATCGTATCAAGAGACAAAAAATTATAAAGCCAAATGCTTTGATCAACTACAACAAGTACATGAAAACTCCTTTCATTTACATGAAAACATGTACATGAAAACTCCTTCATACTATAGTATTTGTCCTACTATAGTATTTTGCATAAAACAGTGAAGTGGACAAAGTGTTTAGCTATGTGCATGATGAATTGTGCATTTTTCAATGCATATGTAGTATACAATTCGACAAAAACGCAAAAAATAAGATACAAGAAATTTTTGCACGATATCGCACAGCATTGGGTTACTGATGAACTACCTAAAACCAGCACTGAAGAACCAGAGCAAATGATATCAAAACGCGACCCTTCTGGAAGATTATCCATGGATATGCACAAACACATGTTGGGAAAACTGTTGGTGCTGGAAAGAAGAAAAATCCACAAAGACAATGTCGCGTGTGCGCAGCCAAAAAAGTGCAAAGTGAAACGTGTTTTATATGTAGCTTCTGCCGTGTTCCTCTTCACAGAGGAAAATGCTTTGAACAGTACCATGCTATAAAGAACTATTAAAGTGTTATCATATCTATTTGTATTTGTTATGAAAAAATATTTTTAAATACATTGTAAAATTTCACGAAAAAACGCCCGCTGCACTCGTAAATTGGCGGCGAAGTATACCCGCATGCCAAGTGTTAAGAATCAATGTACATGCCAATTTATTATATTTCATTATGATTGAATCATAGAAATGTCTCTGATTTAATTATGATTGGATAAATATCTGCTGAGATGATTTTATATACGTGGAAGTGAAGACCGGAAATTCGTCATGTTTTGTTATCTTCATCTGTAAGCCTTCACCTTCTACCACGACGACTGCAAGTTGATTCCTCATCTATGTTCCCGGAATTATGACATACATATACATATATAGAGAGACATACATATACATATATATAGAGAGAGAGAGAAAGAGAGGGTCTGTTAAAAAAAACTCTGAATAGAAAAATGACGAATTCCAGTGGAGTAACGAGCATAACTGGGCCCGGGGCAAAATACCTTTTTGGCGCCCTCCTTCCCCGAAAAAAACACAGTGATATGATGAAAATCTTGTTTGGAGACCATTTGGTGCCGCTCTGGGAGCGGCGCCCTGGGCATCATACACCCCTTTGCCCCCCTCGGTACGCCACTGTTGAATTCAAAAGTGCAAATTTGGTTATGCTTAATCAGACATGTGCTAGGACATGTCTGAGTTGCCGTAGTCATACCTGGGCTGCCACTTAAATACTTTTTGATGACAACATTGGTTGCCAAATAATTATTCTGTTGCCTTATGAATCTTGATGGGAGCTCATGCCTAATTTATGTTTCACTTGAGCTCATCAGTTGCTAAAATAAATGCAGAATAAAAATATAATCCTTAAAATAAAAGTAAAAAAAGTATCAAGGCTTTTGGAAAAAATATCATATCTGAAAAGAGCAGGTGAAACATTTAGGGAAAATGTTAAAATTGTGTTAAGTACTTAACTCTGTTACTTTTTTTTTGCTTCGTTTTAATGATCAGAACTGTTTTGAATTACCTTAATTCAGCATCTTCTGTTACAATATGATGTAACCCCTCTTTCTAAGGATTTTTAAAGTATTTTCTTTCTTATAAAATATAAAAATTAAAATTTCTTATATAGTTTTATAATTTATTATTGATTGATTTTACTCTCTTTATGGTCTACTCATCATTGTTATATTTTCATTTTATGTGCAATAAATTTTTTCAGCTTTTAGCGTGTAATCTTTACATAAATCTATGTTACATGTATTTCTCAATATGGCATATGTGTATGTTTATACTTATATATATATACATATATATATATATATTCTAGGCTGTATGGCTGAAAGATTAAAACATAAGTTTTTGGAAAAAGAGCGGATGGTGGATATTGTAGCTGGTCCTGACAGCTATAAAGATCTTCCAAATTTATTATCTTTGGCAGATGAAGGACAAAAAGCAGGTATGAACCTACTGAGAATATAAGTGCTATATTTTTATAATAATTGTTAGGACTGTGGATCTTATATTTTTCAAAGCTGTGATTTTTCTCCTGTTTAATTCAAAATTTGTTTAGTAGTAATTCTTGATGTTTTTGACGTAAAAGCAGCAGAATGAGGAAAACAGGCACAGCTGATAACTCTTATGTATAAAACCTTTTATTTATATTTTTATCTATCAAAAAAAATATTATGAATTAATGTGAAAGACTGTATCTGGACAGAATAGACGATAGATAAAATTAAATTTTACTGTTATGTGGCATACACAAGGAACAAGGATTTAAATAGAAATAATAGACTTAATATAGATGCCAAAGGAAGTTTCAGGTACAGTGTACTTTCATTACACAAGCCTGCAGTGTCTGTGTTTTTCAACTTTTGACAACTGATTCTTATGAATTTTTTAGTACTAAATCCAAAAATGACCCTCATTTTTTACCATCATGTTAGGATTTTTCACAAATTTCAAAATTGTTAAAAAACTCAAAAAACTTCATTTCACTTCATTTTCCTAGTTCAAGTACAGAGAAGAAGCCTCTTCCATTTTTCTCAGATGAAGAAAACTTTGTCTTCTGCACTGTTGATATGTGTGGACTTATGATTCAATTTAACATTCAGTACAAATGTATTGAATGGAAACTGTTCATAGATTCATCCAAAAGAAGCCTCAAAGTTGTCCTTTTTTACAATGAGAATATATATGCATGAATAACTGTCAGACATTCTGTTTATTTTAAAGAACATTACAATGATTTAGCATTTCATCTGAATAAAATGAAATATGACAATTATTACTTACGGTGACCTCAGAATGATATCATTGCTGTTAAGACAGCAAAGAATGTACACAGAGTTTCCCTTTTGCATAATGTGAAAGTTGCAAAAAAACCCTGACTTGATCGAAAAAAAAATAATGCTGTTTTCAGATTTAGCACTAAAGATTATATAGGAATTAATAAACAAAAGTTTAGGAATTTCAAATTAAATTCAGAATCAATGATGAATTATTCAGAAGTACAAAAATCAGGACTATTCGATGGTTTTAGGGAAACAATTTGCGGTTTTCATGAGATCTATCACGCTGATTTTGTTGTTTGAGATTAGTCTTAATCAATGATGAATTAGTCTGATAGTGTGTCTCTGAATATATAATATGTAATATATGTTGTGTATGTGTGTGTGTGTGCATATATATGAATAAATTCAGGAGCAAGAATTTATCTCTCTTCCTGCATAGTAGACATTGAATTAAGAAAGACTGGTCAAAAAAGGATTCATTAGAACCTGGAATCAAAAATGTGCTCTGAGAGCTCTCATAGATCCAAATGAAGTTTTTTTTTCATCTCTGCATATCAAATTAGGCTCTATGAAGCAATTTATCAGAGCTTTAACAAAAGAAGGCCAGTATTTTAAATCTGTGACAAATTTCTAGCCCTTTCAACTGCCAAACTAAAAGAGTGTCTTTATTGGTCATGTGTCTAACAAACAACGAACGAAAAGGAAACACTGTGTAATTTGAGAAACAAATGTAAGCTGAGGAAAAAGAAGCCTCGAGAGCCTTTTAGGCATAGCAACTAAGTTTCTGGGCAATAAGAATGACCCAAACATTAAATCAATCACTAAGAACATGTTGCAAAACTACAAAAGAATTAGGTTATTTCTTGAACTTAAAGTTTCACATGCCAAATTCATATTTGGATTATCTTCCTGAAAGGATTATTTTGATGACTGACTATTGCTGGATATTACACTAAAATGAATCCCATTGAGGATATAAAAGAAAAAGCATGAGAACTCAATGGGAACTGACACAAGAAATAAAATTGTATATTTTATGTACATTATCTTAGTTTAAGCTTAAAAAACGTTAAACTAAGTCTAATGTGTCACATTTAGCAATTTTTTTATTTTTTACAAATTTTGCAAGTTACGATTTACAGTGACTTTTTACAAATCTTGAAAGTTGCAAAAAAACCCTGACTTGATCGAAAAAAAAAAAAAAATAATGCTATTTTCAGATTTAGCACTAAAGATTATATAGGAATTAATAAACAAAAGTTAAACAACGTGAGAGAACCGAACTTTTGCAAGCTTGTCTGGTTAAATAATCAGAATCAATGATGAATTAGTCTGATATCTCTCTTCTTTTCTCTGTCTCTCTTTGTCTGTCTCTCTCTAATTATATATATATATATATATGTGTGTATGTGTGTGTGTGTGCATATATATGTAATAAATTCAGGAGCAAGAATTTATCTCTCTTCCTTTCTCTGTCTCTCTTTGTCTGTCTCTCTCTCTAATATATATATATATATATGTGTGTGTATGTGTGTGTGTGTGCATATATATGTAATAAATTCAGGAGCAAGAATTTGGATGGCATAGAAGTTTTGATCCATAATGACTAGGAAATTGGAGGCAAAGGCAGATTAAAACTTCAGTCTTTTTTTCAGCAACATGTTGTAGCTACATACAAGTTGGCACATTAACCCCTTAACTGGTTTGCCCATACATTGTATGGGCTACTGATCATTGGATGCATCCGTGCATCGATATTTCCCCGTCTTATTTTTATTTGCCCGTATTTTTAATATATTGAAAGAGAGACTTTAGTAATAGAAGATTTCAATAGATGGCATAGCTTGTCCATGCCATTTAAAAGCATTCTAACCAGTTTTTCTTTTGTTACCGGAAGTCGAAAGTACTTTGCATTCTTGGTTCTTGAAAGTTTTGCTACACGGTTTTCTGGTTGTGAATTCAAAGCTCTTTAGTTATGGTATGATACAATAGATGATGATACTTTATTGTTAGATGCTTCTGATGATTCGGATACAAATTCAGAACTGTCTTGTAATGTTCTGGATAATTCTTCAGATGACACGTGTAGTGAGCTTAACTCCGATGAAGACTTGACTTCTGCTAGAAATTTTATTGAAATTGATATGGAAAAACCCACCTCTTCCATGTCCCAGGTTTCATTTTACTGGATGTTCCAGCAGTAAATATACAAATTGATGATACTTCTGATGAACTACAATTTTATGAAGCATTTATTGATTCTTCTTTGATGAATAAAATTGTAGAAGAAACAAAACAGATATGCGACACAGTGCATCCAGTCAAGCACTGCAAAAAAATTCTCAAGAAGTAAATTTTGGAAACAAACAACTCAGGAAGAGATGCATATATTTTTTGCTCTGGTTATACTGCAAGGAAATTATAAGGAAGCCTGCAATTGATCAGTACTGGCAGTAAGAGACATTCCACATACACGCCATTTTTTCCCCCCAAATAATGACTCATCGTCGATTTCATCTTTTGCAACGGTACTTACATTTTTCGGATAATTCAGCATTTGATGCACAAAGTCACGAATGCCCAAAATTAGTGAAATTGTGGCCAGTTTTGAAACATCTGAATGAGAAGTTTCGCTCGGCGGTGACACCACAACGTGATTTAACTATAGATGAAAGCCTTATGCTTTTCAAAGGAAGATTAGGGTGGAAGCAGTATATTCCCCTAAAAAGAGCAAGATTGGAATAAAATGCTTCATGCTGTGTGAATCGATTTCTGGTTATGTATGCTCTTATAATAATATACACAGGCAAAAACACGATTCTGAAACCAGAAGTTTTCAAATCTATGTATTTTCGTCACAAGTTGTTATGACAATGATGCATCCGTTACTGCATAAAGGATATTGTCTTACGACGGATAATTATTATTCGTCACCAGAATTAGCTGATAAATTAATTTCGTGTCGAACGGATACATATGGCACCCTGAATCTAAAGAGAAAAGAAGTCCCAAAGGAAATGCAAAAGAAAAAACTAAAAAAAGGAGGAAATCATTGCATTTCAGAGAGGAAAAGTTACTGTTATGAAGTGGATGGACAAAAAGAATGTTTCATTACTGTCTACTATTCATAATACTGCAAAGGTAGAAATACAGGTCCGCTCTGAAACGAAACAGAAACCAAAAATTGTTAGCTGATAAATCCTATGGAAACCAGAGTCAAAATTCTCACAATGACATGATTCACCCTGAATTAGCTGAAATTAGTTTTGTGAAGGATAAATATGGAATCTAAAGGAAAGAAGTCCAAAGGAAATGCAAAAGAAAAAAACTAAAAAAGGAGAAATATTAATTTCAGAGAGGAAAAGTTTCTGTTATGAAGTGGATGGACAAAAAATGTTTCATTACTGTACTATTCATAATACTGAAAGTAGAAATAACAGGTCCGCTCTGAAAACGAAACAGAAACCAAAAATGTTATGGATTATAATAACACGATGAGAGGAGTAGACCTGCATGGACCAAATTTGAAAAATTTTGAAGTCATTAGAAAGAGAGAAAAAATTATTATAGAAAAAATTTTTTCCACATTTTTAATATTGCTGTATGGAACTCATATGTCGTATATTGTAAGAAAGGTGGAAAGAAAACGCAGTTACAGTTCAGACTTGATCTTGTTGACAGAATTATCGAGAAATACCATTCTGGGATGACTTTCATATATGGATGACCTGGTTCTGAGCCTAATCCTTTGAGACACTTCATAGAAGTTATTGCTCCAACAGAGAAGAAACTGAGACCTGCCAGACAATGCATTGTATGCTGTTCCAGAAGGAATGAAAGTGGAAAGAGAATCCGAAAGGAAACATGGTATATCTGTCCTGATTGGGATGCAGGACTTTGTCTAAAACCGTGTTTCAAATTGTACCACACAAAAAAGGACTACTCAACAATAGTATTGAAAGTATGAATTTTTAACGTATGGTAAGTTTTTATTTAGATTCGCAGTTTGTGAGATCTGTATAACGGTCTTTACTGCATAAACTCTGTGATTACAAAGAGCCAACACACAGGGGCATTTGTGTTACAAAGTTATAAAATAAAAAAATGCTTAAATTCATTAATTATCAAATTTTTTAAAAAATTCTTTCATTTTCCTTTTATACTAAGTTAGGACTTTAATTATGTGCAATAAAAAATATGCTTTTTTTTTGGAACATTTCTGGGAAAAAATTGACCAGTTAAGGGGTTAAACGTGACTGTTCCTTACATTTTTGATAACTTTGTAGCAAGAAAGCAGTAGCAGACAGACTACAGTCCAGCTAAGGCAAAGTGTAGAAAGCAAATGTGTGATGAAATCTCAAGTCAGACTGAGTTAGTTCTCAAAGCATTTTGCTCGATAGTTAATATTGCTGTAAAATTACTATTGGCTGGTTTAGTTCCATTTACATCATCATAATTACATAAGAATTATATGACATAGAATAGTCTTGAAATGACATAGTGCAGAGAGAGGTTACTATTTTTAGAATAGTGGAAAGAAATTTACGTTGCTAATTTAATCTTTAAAATAAAGAATATATATTCTTCATTTTTCTTACATATACACATAAATATGAAATTAAAAAAGGAAATTTATATGAATAAAAACATATTCCTATTGTATTGATAAGTTTGTTCCTGGAATGTTGAAGCCATATTTTCATTTGAATCTTTAATTTTATATGAAGTAATAAATTAATACCCTTTCTTCTTGATTTCAAAATATCAGTATTAATTTCTGTATTGTTTTTATGAATCTTTAACTAAAATAACGGACCACCTTTTTTAAGCCATTATCATTTATTTACTGTTCTTTTATCATGAAAACCTTTCCAGGAGCACACAATGCTTAACAATATAAATTTGGAATTTATTAAAATATTTAAATTGCTTTTTTATGAATAATCCTTCCTTTGTTATAGCTAATGCTTTAGATGTCAGTGAAGGAAGATATGAAAATTCATTTTTAGAATATATTGCAATTTAAATAATATTGAGACAACATGGGAAATAACTAACTATGATATTATAGCATATCATAGTTATAATATATAGTGTTCAAAGCTGTGTAGAAGCTTCAACAGGTAGTTATGGAAGAAATGGTATGGAAGAAAATGAAGACTTGCAAATCTTAATCAAATCTAAAAAAGGAGCGAAAATTTTAAGAACTCTTGATTGAAAAGTGGTTATCAGAGAAACCTATCAACAGTTTTATAAACTTAAAAAATACAACCGAAAAACTGTTGATGAACAAACAATATGAAACACACACAGATAGCTCAGTTTTGTAAAAGTTTAAAATTTCATAAGATATGTAATTTTAACAAACATTTAAGTAATTGAACATTTTCATTAAATTTTAATTATTTTTTAGGTATTCTAAGAATTATTTTAGGTATTTATTTTGTGTAAAGATGTGCTCTTTTTTTTAATTAAAGGAGGGAAGGAAGAACTAAGTAACAAAATTGTTAAATATTAATTAGATCTGAAATCTGAAAATAAATCATTACAGTCGTTATATGACACTTTCTAAATGTAGAATCAAAACATATTATTTTTTAATGCTTATTGAATTTTTTGAAGCTTATCTTTGAAAGTACAGAAACCAGTTTACTTCAGTATTTGTGATTATCAAAGTTCTTAATTTCAATTCATTTTTAAAAAAAATTCTTCTTTAAATATGGTCTATAAAATGTAGTTGATCTGATTTTTAGAGGAAAGAAAAAAGTTTCTTTTAAAAAAGTATTAAGAATTTAAATTATACTTCCTTGACAAAAATTATTAGGCTTTTCAAATATAAATTGCACCTAATGGAATGATTACATTTTTGTAAACCATATTGTGATTTGAAATAATTTTCATATTCTACAATACATCTTTTCTAACATTCTGGATATTGAACCCATTTTTCAAAGAAGGTGTTTGATTGGGTGCATATCCACTCTTAGATTTCTGTGATGATTCTGGGGAACACTGGGGGTTAAATCTGGAGTACAACAGGCTTAAGGCAGGATATCCAATCCATATATATTAAGCAGGCATTTCTCCATGTTGTCTGCAAAGCCTGGTCAAAATTTAGCTCTGAAATCTTTACTTCTACTAAAATCTTATCACAAATTCTTTCTTCCACAGCTGATGCACTTTGTGCTTACTCTTCATTCTCACTAATGCCACCCATGACTAAAAAGAGATTAAAATGAGTTTCTGGTAAGCAGTATGATAGTCGGAACATCAAAGGTTATTTATTTACATGCTTCTAGAACTTTCGCTAAAAAAATCCAGCAGTCTGGTTTATTTTTGGTTGTCCTAATGTTATAAATCTCAGTTTTAGTTTTTAGAAGGAAATAATTCTGATTTTGAGCTGGCTTTGTCTGATAAATTATTTCTATAATTAAATAATAAAAAAATACTATTCATGTACATATGTACCTTGTATCATGCAAAAAAATGATACCTCAAGCCACAGAATTTTGAGCACACTTAGTCATCTGCCAAATGTGCATACCTGAATTTTAAACTTGAATTTTAAATTTTATATTTTTTATTTCATATTATTTCATATTTTGTACAAACTTAATGAAATTTTGATTAACAAATATGGCAATTTAAAATTAACATATTGCCATTCAGCAATGCATAAGATATTTAGCTTTCAAATCTAATCAACATTAAAAGATATGTGTTGCCACTAGCAAAAATATTTTTATCTTTCACATGCCAAGGTGTTGTTGCTGTTTGGTGAAACATAAAGTGTTTAATTCTTCTTTCAAATTTAATCTGTCTTTTATTGATTAACAAAATAAGCAGTTCATTTATACTGTTGTTAATTAATAGTGGAACCTGTGAAATTACTTTAGCTGGACTCATTAAAATAATTATATTTATATGTACATTTTTTCCTTATAACTATTTTAGATGGCTGGCTATGCAATTGGCCAGTTCATTATTCAGCCTGTTATAAAAATTGACTGATCTATATGAGAAATCATAATATAAAAATTTGTTTAGACAAAATTGTTGGTTACTTAAAAAATAAATTTGATCTGAACATGATAATTATAAAAATAAACTTTAAGAGAACTTGACAAGATTTCATAGTGTGTTCATTTCGTTTTTAACATGAGACCATTAATGGATAACATGAATACTCTTTTATATTTATTTATGTATTGAAAGTAGAATTGTAATTATGAATGATTCTTTATTAAAGTTATACCCAAATTTTATTTTTAGTTAATGTGATGCTTTCTGTGGATGAGACATACGCAGATATTATGCCAGTAAGAATGAATGCATCATCTAAAACTGCATTTGTGTAAGCTTTTAGAGTATGATTTCTGTTGAATTAGTATTCAGATTTTAGGATACAGTACAAAGTCCATAATCTGGACTCATTGGGTGATTCCGGATTAGGAGTTTATTTTCCGGATTATAGGTCATCTATTTAAATCTAGTAAGATGGCATGCAGAAATTATACAATTAAAAATATGAAACTGTAATTTATGAAATAAAGACCAATTATGATCTAAAGGGTACCAAAATTTATTAAAAAGAAAGCTCAATATTTATTTGTTTACTTTAGTAAACATTTCTATCAATATAAGTTGTTTAATTTGCTTAATTTTTGTACTAATACTTTCTCTTTAATTCTATAAACAGACATAATTTCTTGTTCAGTTACAAAGTACCATTGTTGAAGTCCTGTAATTGCCGTGTTGAGAATACCGACTAACTTGTCAATCAAAATTTTTTCGTTTTCAATAACGTTCTGTGTTACTTTCTTCATTATCGTAAGCGCACATGGGTAAACGCTTTAATGGCTTTACACGCATTATGCGCATGCATAAATTTGTGGCTTTGAAGCCCGGATTATAGATCATTCCGGATAATGGACATCCGTATTACGGACTTTGTACTGTATTAAAAAAGCAATTTAAATTGTCAGCTTTATTGATAATATGATGAAACTACTTAACTTTTATTATGATTGTAATCCTTTTTCTTGTTACTTTGAACCATAATTTATTCAAATATTTATAAATATATATTACTGTGTAAGTGAGTAATGCCTATTTATATTTTTGGTTTGATTTTCATTTCATTAGCATTATTTTATTATTGTGCTTACTCATATTTTTATGCATTTAATTTTCCAGTTACATTGTTTTAAAGTTTACAATAATGATAAAATATTTTAATATGCAGGGTAGGAACAAAGTGTGTAATTTCAAAATTTAAATGTTTGTATACTTAATTTTCTCTTGCATGTTACATTAAATATGGAGATGGTTTAAAAAAATGTATATTCCTAGTAGAAAACCATAGACCAGGGAAATAAGCAGCATATAGAATTTTTATGAAACTTTTGTTTTATTTCAAATTGCAAAAAAAAGAAAATTTTAAAAATGATATAATTTAAAAAATAGTCCCCTCCCCCTTGTATTCTTCTTTCTCCTTTTCCTTTGGCAGGCCGAAGCATTTATATTACAAAATCGGCTAAATAATATTAAAGCATGCAATAATATAAGCATGTTAAATATTCATAATTATTGAATAATCTAATGTACATTACAGGATAAATCATGTGATTTAAATCCTGGTTTTAATAATTTGATTAATCATGCTTTATGATTTAAATCCTGTTTTAATCAGCAGATTTAAAAGCAAAATCATTGGTATTCTTCTGTTTTTAAATGATGGGAAATGTGTTCAAAATTAGTTCTTATGATAATCTATAATGCTTTTTAAGAGATTTTTTAATAACTGAATACAAAAAATACAAACTTTTTAAAGAATTAGAGTTGTTTAAAATATTTTAAACAAGCCACGTTAGTACAATGCAAGAAAGTTTGCAACTTCTTTGTTTAGTCTCAAACATAAATCTGATCATGATGGCTCTAATTCAAAGCTATATGTAAATCTGTTGTGAAAACATCATCATCTCAAAAATCTAAAATGGATGATGAAGTAGGTAATTTTTTTTTATTCTAGAAATACATCATTTTGTAGTGTGAAAATTCCTTATTTCATAAAATTAATAGAGATACTGTTTACTAGATATAAACCCATATTGAAAAATGACATAAATGATAAATTATTAAATGATATATATGAAAAACAAATGGAGAAATGTATTAATGTTTTAGTGAAACAAACGAAATACAGTACAAAGTCCGTAATCCGTACTCGTTGGGACTTCGGCGATTCCGAATTAGGGATTTTTCCGGATTATAGATCCTCAATTTAAATCTGGTAAGATGGCATGCAGAAATTATACAATTAAAAATACGAAACCGTAATTTATGAAACAAAGAGCAATTATGATCTAAAGGGTATTAAAATTTACAAAAAAAAAAGCTTAATATTTATTTGTTTACTTTATTAAACATTTCTTTCAATGTAAGTTGTTTAAGTTGCTTCATTTTTTGTGCTAATACTTTCTCTTTAATTCTATAAACAGACATAATTTCTTGTTCAGTTACAAAGTTCTACTGTTTAAGTCCTGTAATTGCTGTGTCGAGAATATCGACTTTGTCAAACAAAATTTTTTCTTTTTCAATAATTTCTGTTACTTTCTTCATTATCAGAAGCGCACGTGAGTAAATAAACGCTTTACGCGCATGTGTAAGTTTGTGGCTTTGAGGTCCAGATTATAGATCATTCCGGATAATGGACGTCCAGATTACGGACTTTGTACTGTATATATGGTGCTAGATGATCAATCTTATATCCACAATAAAGAAATAATCATCATGTATGTTTGTGCAATAGATGGAGCTGTACATTTAGTGGAAATTATTGATGCATTATTAACACCATTTACAAGAGAAAATTTACTCATCCTTGCTTTTGATGTTATTATTTAAAAAAGTTGGAAATAAAATTTAAATGTAAAATTTATTCAGCACGTGTGTTAAAATTGAGAAAAGAATTGGGAAACAATTTTCAGCTTATATCTCATAGTTTTTTAGCACATATTCTTATTTATTGGTCAGACCTTTAAATATATCCAATGTTCCTGAACTTATTATTCAAACTGTAAAATATTTTTGAAATCAGATGTTTCTCTGATTCAAATTAAGTGACTTGGTTTAAATATAACATTTTAAGTACATCTGAACTCAATATGTGACCTTCTTTAGTTATATGGACTCAGTTGAGAGCTGTGAGTTTTCATATAAATTGTCAAAGAAAACTGAAATGTAACAGACTAGAGTATTCGGTTCAAGCATGGAGGTAGGAAAGGGAGGAGGGGCCATTCCACGCTAGAAGTGAAGCACTGCTTTGACGCTTGGGTCACCAGACGGGGTGTTCTTTGTTTACATTCAGAAGCTCGCTTGACAAGATTCTGATAGTATTTCGACACACGACAGTTCCATAGAAATCGAAAAAGGGACACTTTCGCATGAAAGAAACATTCATAGTGTGATGGATAATAGCAGTTTGTATAGTTTACTGACATTTACGCAAAAATCTTGGTTATTTTTCGATAACTAACAACAGCGATTTTGATTATGAATTTGTTTTATAAAATTCTAAGCTGTTGCACTACAAAATATTAGATTTAAGAAAATTGCTAAAAGAGATCTGCCAAAATTTATTTTCTAGAAGATTTGAAAATTTGAAACTTGATGGCTAAATGTAAATATAAAATTATGTATGTTAAAATATTTGTAATTAGGCACATAGGTCAGATTAAGTTTTATTAATAGAGTAACGCATGCAAGGGCTATCTGCCTAAAGAGAGAGATGCCATCGTGGAGGAATTTTGAAGAAGAAAAACTGACCTTTGAGTGGGTATTAAAAATAATACTTATAATTTTCATTAAAATTATATTCTATATATTTTTTATGTTAAAACTTTCGGGTGTATGCTAAATTATGTAAATTACTTTACACAAAAAATATAGTGAATGCACAGAAATTAAAGATTTGCACATGCCGTAAATGATTAAATAGGAAATATGTATGGGTTTATGCATGCGCTTGCAAAAAGCATGTATCTGCCTTTGTCAAAATACATAAATATTCATTAAATTATTTATAAATATATTTGAAATGACGAATTTATTCTCTTATAAACAACTGTGAAAGTACTGTGAAGAAATCTAATGATTAAATGTATCTAATTTATAATGATTATAAATGTTATCTAAATATATAATACCTTAATATTGAATTGTAAACATAAATTGAAATCCTGTTGACAAATACGTTATAAAACTATTTAAGCAAGAATTGTTCGTATTGGAAAGCAATCTGTTAAAAGGTATTGTAAAGCAAATGCTATGAGATGCGCACTTAAGAACGTAATAAAGAGTTTTGGAATATGTATTGTTGAAATGAAGGATAAAAAAAAAAAAAAAAAAAAAAATCTGATAAGTATAATTAAAAGAATTAAGCCAAAAAATCATGTCATATTTAAGAAAGTATTTTAGGAAGAAGCTCTATAAATAGAAAAGAAATAATGCATAATTTTAATATTAATAATACAATAAACTTTGATCTTAATTTTTGTACCTAACCGAATAAAATCAAATTACCATAATTTTTTTTTCTAATGTAATTAACGAAACTTGTGAAAATATTTCATTCAAATTAAACCATTCTGAGAAAACTGTCCTGTGAAAAGTATAGTATTTTAATTCCGTCACAATGAAATGTTGTTTAAAAATTTAATTGTTTTCACATACTTAGGATTCTGAAGTGTAGAAAAAGAAAATATATACATTTATATTTACGATGTAATTACAAAAATATTACACCCGAATGCGTCAATCCCATAGAACTCAATGGTAATGACCCGTTTTTGGTCACCACGTAGGGATCGCCCTTGCTTAGGGTATGGAGAAACGTTACAGGGCGGTCCTTTCTTCTTCCTACCTCCATGGGTTCAAGTGAGTACGGCAGTTCGAAGATTTATCGTCTGCATGTTCAACAAGCCAGCTTTCTTGTGCTAGAAGACCATATGTTCACCAGGAGTACTGGAGGTAGCATTGACCTGCTTGGAGTATTTTGTTATGCTAAAAGTTTTCACACGGACTAACCTTTCCGAGTGTGCTGGTTTTTTAGCACAGTACATTTGTAACTATTTAAAAGTACTATTGGATTAAGTGTTATCCACATACCAAATTGATGTAATCTTAACTTCTTACATTTATGTTTTTATTAAAATTCCTGTTATTGTTTTATAACTTGAGTTTGGAGTTATTTCAACCCTGAAAAACACAACAGAGGCTTTGGGTAGCCTGTTCAACCACGATACTATACTACAAATGACTGTTTTGATCCTAATGTAAAAATAATACTAAGAAGAATTTAAAATTATCTAAATTGGTGAAATATAATAAATTTAATCTTTATTTACTTATTACAAAATATTTGAAAGAAAAATAGCTTTAAATATTTTTAATTATTTTAGAAATTACAATGTATAATGTCGAGTCTAGCTCAAGAAAGGAGTTGGTGTAAGAAATATGATGTTGAGCCACACTTGACATAAGAGTCCTAAGGGTTAATTTAAACGTGTTGTTGTGGCTAGTCTCACTTGTTTGAGGTAGGGCAAGGAGTGTAAGACTGCACCTGTCATTGGAATGAGCTTTCAGCACCATATAGGTGACCGTATGATTTTGCCCACTTCCACACCAATTTTGAAGAGCACCATGGGAGACAGGTTGGAGGTTCTTTCCCTGCTAGCAAACAATTAGAGATGATGTTCAGCTCACTATGTATTTTGAATGCTCCCATGCCATATGGACACTATACGTTTACAAACATCCATTCCTTCTCAGGGATTCAAACTTGAGCCCATCAGTGCGGCAATCAGTGTCACTAATTACTATACCCTCTGGGGTGTTAGTTGACATATAAAAATATGTATTATGCTTCTTAACATCACTTTAAAGGTTTAAGGTAATATAGAAAATATCAAAAATATCTGATTTAAATAAAAAATAATAATATAAGGGTTTATTGATGATTTATATATCTTCAAAATAAATCTGAAAAACATGAAGGTGTAACATGTACAACTGAACTGATACAATCAGCATGCTGTTCTTGATAAATTATATTTGTGCCTTTCTTATATCTGTAACTGTATATTTGATGAAAGAAATATAAGTTCATTTATGTTTGAAGAGTAGCAAGCAAGAGTAGAATGATATGAAGGTTTGGTTAAGAATAACACAATTTTGGTTTAACTTTATTCCTATTGTCTAATTTAGGTTCAGTTTGCAAGCTTTGCTATCATTATTGGCTGAAGTATTGTTTAAGTACCTGTGTCACTAACATTATAGTAAGAGTCATGTCATAAGGATTAATTTTGAGGTGATGCAGTTTAGAGAGAGTTATTATAAGTGTTCAAACGTGATCATTGTTTTCTGATCAAGATATCAACAGCTTAGAGTGAACTCTTTTCTAGAGTTAGTGCATAAAAATGGTAAGTTATTCATAGACAGTTGATATAGTTATTTGTTTTTTGCCATATTTTTATTGAAGTAAATATATTTATATAGAAATTGGCACAAGATTTGCATCTGTTGTTTAGCAGTTACTAAGATAATTTGGTACTTTACTGTTATCAGGGGCAGATTCAGATATCATCAAATGCTTTGCAATAATGCCGAATGTAGACATGCTAATTCTTCCTTCCTATTATTTTTAAATCATAATAATATTTTTGTATAAACAATCTCTTAGATTTTTGTTATAGAGTTGAGTCCAGTCCCAGTAACAAAAAAATACCCATAATTTTCATATATTCATGGCACTGCAATTGGAGAAAAAGTGGGGCAATGAACTATTTGTTAGCAAGGGAATCAAGCGAGAAAATAGTGAAGATTATGTTACTGAAGTTAGGTTAAGGATTGCAAATTTTCTTAGTTTCTTAATACCTGGAAATAGTATTGCAGTAATTAATGTAAATATTTTATCCAATTATAAAATAAAAGTTTTAGTTTGATTATAATTGGATAAAATATTTACATAAATTTTTAAGCTTATATAAGTACATATGTTACTTGCATCATATGAGTATCATATGCTATTTATGTTTTATCTGATATTTATGTTGCTTGCATCATGCGATAGGGATTAATTTAAAATGACGTTCTTAAGAAAGATTTATTATAAGATTTTTATTATTTTTAGGATTGAAAGGGAAAATAACCAAATGTAAAAAGAGACTTTGAGGTATCTTACATATTTTCCCTGCTCTTCCCCCAAAAAAGCGCTAGGTGAAAAAAAAAAAAAAAAAAAAAAAAAAAAAAAAAAAAAAAAACTCCTTTCTTAAGAAGAATCATTAAAGCAATAGAAAAATGGAGTAAAGAAAAATATTGTATGAAATACTTTGATAGTTAAAGTTATAACTAAAACTATAAGTCGGTGTGATATAGCTTAAAAAATGCAGAACATAAACTCTGATCATTGCATTTTTATTTAAACAAATGAAATTCTGAATATTTAATTGTCACTGAAATTTCAGACATTCAGTTCAATATTCAGTCTAACTAATTTGAGAAAATTCTTGTGTTTATGAAGTTGTTTAATTCTGAAGATTCTTCAAAAGGGCATTTTCAAACTTTTTTCATTTTATCACAAAATACCATAACTTTAAACAATATTTTTACATGTCCAACAGTTATTTCTGCATATTACAAAAGTTAATAGCATATGAAAAACTGATATTGAATTTTCATATTTATATCTTATATTTTTAACATTGCAGACACTTTAATGTCCTATTAAAGTTACAGTTTTCTCAAGTCATTCCAGTTATTAACCATATATGTGTAAGGCTTCTTGAACAACTGATGTATGTATAAATATTAAAAATATGACAAATTCTCTTTAGCAAATTAATGTGTTAATTCACTAATGACTGAGATTGCCACATTGCAGTTATTTACAAAAGCTTCCATTCTTATTACATGTACCCTTTAAGTCTTCTATTTAATTGTTTAATTTTGCTTTTTGTTTTAACAGTAATAACATGCTTATAACAGTAATAAATCTGACTAAATTGTGTCATTCCAACATTTATCCTTGTCATGTGATTCGTATGTAATGCTAATGGTGCAGGTATATAATGTTAATGCTTCAACCAATAATATTGAAGCTGAAACTTAAATTAGCCAACTGGAGTAAAGTGACATGAAAACTATATCATTCTTAATCAAACCTTCAAATTGTGATAAACGCATTTCCCTCCCTTTGCTTTCTTATCCAGCAGGCTTGCTGTCTGCTGTTGTTCTATGTTTCTTCATATGTATTACAAAAATGTAAAAAAATACCATGTAACCATTCTAAAAAAGTATGCAGACAGTGCCAATTAAGCTCTGAATTTTATGTTGAATATTTTGTGAAAAATAAAAAGTATTCAGTGGCCACACTTGCATGTACTTCTTTATGAATTTGTTCTGAATTTCCATGTTTTTCTTTATGTTTCAGATCAATAATGAGAGGTTGTGATAATATGTGTACTTATTGTATAGTTCCATTCACTAGAGGTAGAGAACGTAGTAGACCAGTTTCTTCTATTTTAGATGAAGTAAAATATCTGTCTGAACAAGTAAGACAAAAAATTATTTTTATCTTTTTTCATATGTGTGAATTCTTAGTGTGATTTAAAAATATGTATATGCCCTTTTTTTTGTTAAGTGGTGGATGAAACCTTCATATGTCTGTTAAGTAATTCAAATCCTAAGCAAAAAAAATATTTATATAAATGTTCTATTTTGCTTTTCCCCTTCCAAAGCAAGATACATCATAAAAACATAAATTTAATTATTTAACAGATTTAATGGCAACATTCCCAGATCTGAAGATTCCAAGTTTATAAAAATATTGATATTATATTTACAATTCAAGTGCAGCACTCATAGCCACATATCATCACTAGAATTTGGGAAGAGTCGATAGTTTGAGTCTTGCTAAGTTGAAATCGGATCAAGTTCAAAAACCAATGCTAGAAATGACATATTAAAAAAAAAAAAAAAAAAAAAAAAAAAAGCTTATATATATATATATAAACAATGTAAAGTTTTTTTTTTTCATTGATGACAAATTTAACACTACTAATTCATTTATTAGGAAACTAATGAAGAAGTGTATTTATTCAAAGACTAAAAATTCTACTACTAATAACTACTACAATAACTAATAACCTACTACCAATAAAATATAAATTTTTATTTTATTTAAAATTTAACATTTTGGATGAAGAAAAAACATTTGGAGCCAGACAATCTAAAGTGTATTTTTAGAGCAACATTATTCGGTATGAAAAAATACTTACTGAGCAGTCAATGATGGATGATAACTGTTAACTTGCAAGCTCACATAAAGTGTACATCAATTAGGTGCCATGTTCACTGATATGGATCTCAATCCCATTCTTTTCGAAATAGATGAAATCTTTTGCAGCTTAATCACATCCTTTAAATGAAAAATTTGTACTACCTTATTATGGTAATAAAATATTAACTTTAATTTGCAGGGGAGTTAAGAGGCAAATTAAAGTTAATATTTTATCTTGGATATTTAAATGTAAGATTAAAAAATAAATAATATAAAATATTAACTTTTGTTATCTAATTTGCAATAGCTTCTTAGCTCTTTTATTTAATTTGGTTATGATTTCCTTTATTTGAATTTCTGCAAAATTTACACTGCTTCAGTTTTTTTTAATTATTTTCAATTATTACTAATATTATATTTGTTTCCCAGAAATTTAAAAATCAACTGAAAAAAACTGAAAAATTGTTTAGATAAAACACATTTCTGCTCAGATTCTGACTTTTTTTTTTTTTAAATTACATTACTTAAAAAGAACAGCTGTTTCAGTAAAGGATCTTTCTAATGCTTACCAAACAGTACATCCTAAATGAATAAATTTATTTTAAAGAATGCATAATCACGTACCTGAAATGTTATGAAACAGGATAGAAATCCTATAAAGGTAAAGTCCAGTGCTGAATAATTATTATAATTATAGTTTTAAGTATATTTTATATTGATAAAAATCATGTGTCCTTTTATGATATATTCTATTGATATAAATCCAGTGCTGACTAATTATTATAATTATAGTCTTAAGTATATTTTATATTGATAAAAATCATGTGTCCTTTTATGATATATTCTATTGATATAAATCATGTATTCTATCAGCATGAGCTTTTATCAATGTTGGCTTTTATCAGCATGGGCTTTTATTAGTGTAGGCTTTTATCTATGTGTGCTTTCATCCATGTAGGTATTTGTTGCATGGGCAATTATCACAATCGGATTATTTTTAATAGTTTTTGTCTCATACGCTTTCCTCTAGTGGTCTTTTATCAGGGAACTGAAAGAAAGATTTCCTTTTATTAAAAAAAATCATATTATATTTCAATATCTGCTTGAAATTCTTTTTTGAAAATTCACTTTGGGTTATTTTTAGCATGATCTTTTCTGTGGCATAACTAAAATGTATAAAATATTCAAGAGATTTGTTTTTCTATTACATCTGTTTTAGCATTTGCGTCTCTTTCAAATCTTCGAGCATTCTTGTCCTAATTTCACTGAAATAATATGCTTTGAATCCAAAGAAACTGCTTTGTTTTGAAGTTTGAATTCTGCTGGCAGAAGTAAATTTATTATAAATAGTATCTGCTATTAGCAACATGGCCTCAAAAAGACTCCAAAATATAAAATTATTTGAATGATTAAGTGTTTGGTTGTAACTGCTGTTTTTATTTCATTGGTTAAATGAGATGTAGACTTATTCACTTTTTATATACTAGTAAAAATTGATATAAATATGAAAAATATGGAAAAGTACATTTATTTTCAGTATATTTTATACATATTTACAAATAAAACTTTTAAATCTTAATGTGTGTTGCATGAATTAACTTTTTAACATTAGCAACATTTATATTTAAATCTGTAAAATTTATATGTTTGATTCAAAAAGTGTTGATTAAATTATTAGTATACTTTTGTTTTTAAAGCTATTAATGCATGAAATCATATAACTTTCAGCCATGTTAAAAGTCTTCTAAGTAATATTTGGTGGCATTTCCCTATCATTCAATTGGCAACTTATTTGACAACTGTGTAGTGATAAAGTTTCTGAAAACTAATGAGAAAATAACCTCTGTTTTCAAATTTTCTGCAGCACTGGAAAACATCATTTATTGCACTTTTGCTCATTTTTAATAAAATATTTTTCTTTTTAATGCATTTTGGTAGTAGCCTTCATTCTTTTTTACTGTATCCGCCTCCCTGCTCGTGTCATATTTAGTCAGAATGTCAGTCTCTCTTTTTAAGATTTTTTTGACTCAATTGTGCATTTAAAATAATATCTAAAATATGAAATTTAAAATATTTTGTTTTAGTGTCTTGAAGTTACAAATAAATACATTCAGTTAGAATAATAGATGGTGAAGTTTTATGAATAAGTAACTATTAAATTTAAATAAACTTTTTTTTTAATTAAATTTATCATCTCACTTATAGCAAAAAAAAAAAAAAAAAAAGTTCAGAAGAATACCAATGTATTAAAACTTCCTATAGGATTCACCTTTGAAAATGATTAGTAATGTTAAAAATATGATTAAGTAATAACATTGAGCATCGCGGGTAGTAATAGTCTGTAAGATAACCACTTCCACTGTTGAGCAAAAATTTTTAGGTGTATGTAGTAACTTTGGTAGGTAAATAGGAGTGATTCTGTGTTACAATGTAGTATTTGTAATATGAAAGTAATTTAATATCTCTTTTCTAATTTTAGGGAATCAAGGAAATCACTCTTCTGGGACAAAATGTAAATAGTTTTAGAGATTTATCTGAATCTGCACAAATGTTTAAAAAGTATTCTCCAACAAAGGATATTCTCAGCTCAGGTTTTCATACTGTTTACAAAACTCGAAATGGAGGCTTAAGATTTGCAGATTTATTGGATAAAGTGTCTGATGTAAATCCAGAAATTAGAATCAGATTTACTTCTCCTCATCCTAAAGATTTCCCTGATGATGTAAGTTTTCTATTTTACTGTATTGTTTTATATACAATAAACAGTTAATATATGTGAATTTTAAAATTATGTTTTTCACCTATATAAATAATGTTTAATTCTGAATTTTATTAAATTTATATTGCTATACCTCTAAATTCTCTAATTTTTGAGATTTAAATTGAATTTATTGATAATTTTATCATTTTAGCCATGACAGTTGCAGAATAAAAAGAATTCCTATGATGAAAATAATATTTTACTTATAAAAGGTGTTCCAATGAAAAGGTACGGAATGACACTGTGGGTATAACTGAAGTCTCTATTCACAAATCACCAGAGGCCTGAGCACAACTATTCCACTATCTCATGAGCCGAAGAATTTCCTATTCCCAGGAACTGTCTTCCACTGTGTTCTACAGTTCATTAAATGAGTTGAAGTGCTTCCCTTAGATTTTTTTTAGTGGATCCAACACATGGAAGTTGCGGGGCAACCATGTCCAGGCTGTAGGGGTGGGTGCTCAAGTTCCTTCTATTTGAACTTGACCATAACACTTTGTGTGACTTTGGAGATGTGTGGCATGCATTATCGTGAGGCAGAATCACTTCTTCCATGAGCAACCCAGGTCGTTTGCTCTTGATGGACTTGTGTAGGCTATGGAGTGTCTTACAGTACACGTCACTATTTATGATTTTTCTGTGCTCGAGGAACTCTATGAGTATGTTGAAAAAAGACAATAAGCACACCTTACCTGCTGAGAACACAGCTTTGTATTTTTAAGGGGAGGTGATGATGCATGCTTCCATTGCATACTGTTCCAATTTCTCTCTGGCTCGAAGTGATGGCACTAGCTCTCATCACTAGCAACAGTCTGCTCCAAGTTAGGTCTTCAGATACCAGGACTTGTTTTGCAGTAGTTCACTGAGCTTCTTCAGAATCCACTGCTTGCACACCTTCCAATAACCAACCTGTCATGCATGATTTTCCATACTGTTCTAATGCTGGCCCCCACCATCGCTGCCAACATTTGCATTGGGACACACTAATCACTTCTCATCAGTTCATTCACCTTGTTTATGAGTTCGGCTATGGTTACTGTGTTCACCTGGCCTGTTCTTGGGTCATCATTCAAATACTCCCAACCTTCATAAAAATGAGCACTCCACTTTTTCACTGACTTGTTGGACACACTGTATCTCCCCCCCCCCTCATAAACAGCCACCATCTGGTGATGAACAATCAGCCGGTTTAGCCCCCTCTGTGATCAGAAATCTGATAACACCTAACTACTCCTCAGTCATTGAATTTTGCGATGTGAATACCATGATTTCCTCACATTCAATGCCACATCAATTGGATGAAAGACACAGCTGCCTGCATCACGTGCGGGTAATTCTCCTGACAAATATCTAAAAACATTCTTTTGGTTTAAAATGCTGCCTGCAGCCTATATATTGTTGTATGTGCATATAACCAATAATTTTAATACTGTTACGAAATGTACAGACGGGGTAAGATGGCTTCCCCACAAAGCAGCTTTAGGGTTGCCATAAAATAGCAAGGAAGGCAAGGTTGCCACATTTGGTGAGAAATCACCCATTTGGCGACAAAATTGGCGATATACCATGGACGGTTGGAGAACCTTCTGGAACGAATTCTTACTGGTTTAGCCCAGAATGTTCTCGAACACAAGCCAAAAGCTATATAAACCCTGCTGGTCCGCAGTCAGGGAGTGTGCTTCATCGAGAGGGCGAGTCAGAGTGCCTCATCTGGAGTGCGAGTTAGTTAGTATCGAGTTGGTGTCTCGTCTAGCAAGTCAATCCCTGCGGAGTCGATCGAGTTGACAGCTGGGCAGCGAGTGCCGAGTGGGTCACCGAGTTCACCAAAGGAGTCTCTTAGTGTATCGCGGTTAGTGCATCATCGAGAGAGTGTGTTAAGCTCCTGGAATGACTGAACCAAAGAATCGGGGGCTGTGCTCTGTGTGTCGTCGAGTGCATCGCGAGTTGTAGCGTGGAGAGTCTCGAGAGTACCTGCAGTTCTGAGAATGACGTAGCAGAGTTGGGAGCTGTACTCTGGTGCTTTGCAGTGAAGCTATCTCCACCGACAGTGCGAAGGCGGTGTCGCTGATTGTTCCAGTGTGTTTATAGTAGATCTTCGACGACTGTAAGCTTGGAGCTGTCCTGATTAAAATTGGTGAATAAAGTGTGTTTCGATACTTCAAGTGTCATCATTATTCACTCCAAATCTACGAACCCCATACGAACGTGAAGGAAGAAAATAACGTACGAACTGGTGTCAAAAAAGAAAAACGCAGCAGTATTATATTTCACTTCCCCCTGTCATCACAGACTAATTAAGACCCCTTATTAACTAACATAAATTTAATGCTGTAAAGCTCGATTTGAATTGTTTCAATAAAATGCTGTATATTTAAACTTGTATATATTTGTCATGCTGTAAAATAGTTTTTAAGTGCATTTCTTTGCTCAGTAACATATTAGTCAATAACTAATTTTATTTTATTTTTTAACTACTGTATTTACTCACATATTTCTCCTCCTCCCATAATTTTCTCCCTAGTTTCTTCAGCATATGAATTAAAAACTTCTAATTTTCTTCAGCATAGAAACTATATTGTAGCAATGTGAAATGTATGCATAAATTGGAAAATATTTTCTGTAAGTAAAAAAAAAAAAAAAATATTGAAACTTAAAAATCTTTTGAAATGTGTTTTATCATTTAAGGCATCTCTTCAGAAGTCGTATATACCACTTAATCTTCTCCCAGTTTTCTTTTTTGTCATTTTAATGTAATTTATATGTAAGGAGTATTTTTGTAGACCACTTTGACCACATTGTTAAATAGTCACTTTAGTTAGTTTATATATATATATATATACAGTCAAATGTCGTTAATTCGGACACCCATAATCCGGACCTCAAAGCTAAAATCTTTCTGCGCATGCGCCGCGTTGAAGCATGCGCATAGGCGTTTTACGCGTGCGCGCAAGACATTTACGACTCCGCATATGCGTCTGCGCAAGCGCAGAATACGTTTTCGCGTGCACGTTTAATGTATAACGGAGGGTATAAGTTAAAATTATCTAATTATCTATTTCAGTTAATGTTGATGATTGCGTTGTTCTTTAATCTTCGAATTGGATCCGGCTTATTATTTTTTGCAGACTGTAAGAGCAAAAGGCATATCCTTTGTTTATCTAACTGTTCCGAAATCTGTTTATCAATTTTGTTGGCTTTAGTTTTCCACATGCAAATTTTGATCGGAGATCAATCGGCGGTAAGCTAACGTGGTTGCCGCTGATTGGCCAATGACGTCAAGATCAGCGGGTTGGCCGAGTATTAATATATATATATGTACGCCGGTATCGGCGAATGTGCTTGTTCTCTTGTGTGATTATCAGTTAGCATTATGCTAGTTTTCTTTCACTTAATGATTTTAAATGTAAAGGCTACAGTGTTAGCTCTTTTATTTTATTTACGGAATAAAGCATGAATTTTATTTAGATTAGTTTTAGCTTTATTTAAGGGAAGCAAAATATGCTTTGCCTTTATCACCATTGCCAACAGGGTTATGGTCATCACCAGCGCCAACAGCTAATCGGTCATCCAGTTCAACTCAGCATTGAAGGAATGTAGGTGAAGAGGGCCGTTATCCACGAAAAGAAACTGACCTGTCTTAGAAGTTTGTTCAAGTCATTGTGCTCACACTTAATTGAAGATGTCATTACTACCTGAAGGTTTTGAGTTGTTAAACCATGACAACTGGGATCGATGGAAGACATGAAAATGCTGTTACTGGATAGAAATTGTTGGAGCTTCATAGAGGACAAAGAAGAAGAATTAGATAAAAGTGCAACAAAGCGTGAAAAGCAGGAGTTCACACTGAGAGAGAACAGAGCCTTCACTACATTATATTACGGAATTAAAGCTGAGTTCAGGCTGCTGATACAAGAATGTTCAAGTGGTAAAGAAGCCTGGGAAGTTCTACAGAAGCAATTCGAACTCAAAACAAGAGCAAGGATAATTCAGTTACTGGATGAATTTTTTAGTATTAGATATACGCCAAATGAAGAAATAGGATTATTCATCGCCAGGATAAGAATGACTGCAAAGAAGTTGGCTGAAGCTGGTCACAACTTGGCAGATCTTTTTTAAGGATTTCAGGCAATAAGGAGATTACCCCAGGAATACTCCGGCATTGTACAGTTGATCTATAGGTGGAAAGACGAAGATTTTACGCTGGAAAAAATATCTGAAGAATTGGTAAGGGAAGAAAGCCGACTTCGCCAGGTAAAGGCCGATTTAGAAGACAGCAAGGTAAGCGTGTTTAATACTATTGATTCAAATGCAGGGAAAGATAAAGTTGAAAATAAAATTAAATCTAAGAAAAGGATGGGGAATATGAGAATAGGACCTTGTTTCAGATGTTACAAATTTGGGCACTTAATCGCTCAATGTAAAGAAAATGTAAGTAAAAATCAGAAGTTTAAAATAGATGATAAAAATGGACAGTTTAAAGCTAAAGAATTAATGTTAGTAGAAAATTATGTAACAACTACAGATAAAGGAGGTAACGCAGATAAATTTAATTGGGTCGTAGATACTGCAGCTACAACTCATTTCTGTAATAATAGAAATTTAATGACAAATTTTGAAGAAATAAACGATATACGTATGTCTTTAGCTGTAGGAAATTGTGAAAGTAAAGTACTAGGAAAGGGTACTGTCAAATTTGCAGTAAAAGTAGGCAATCGAATAAATTGGATTGTGTTAGGTAATGTGTTGTATAATCCAAATCTAAGAAGAAATTTATTATCGGGAGCAAGGTTAGAAAAGGCAGGTGCTCATTTTGTGATTTCAAAAGGGAAGATGTGGATATATTTTAATAATTGGGATAGATTATTCTACATGATGGACTTTTTATCACGTAAAACCATTTAGATATGCAACAGGTAAAAGGGAAGCTGGTTACGGTACAGAAATTGGAAAGTTAAATAAAGTAGACGATGCAATGCTATGGCATCGGAGATTTAACCACGTAAATTTTGATTATATTAAGAAAACTAGTAAGAATCAAAGTGTGAAAGGGTTACCAGAAATTGAAAAACCAATAGAGAGGTGTGAATCGTGTATTATTGCTAAATCTAGTAGAATAACTTTTAAAACTGTTCCAAAGAGATTGGATAAACCATTGCAGTTGGTTTATTTAGACGTTTGTGGCCCACTGCCAGTTCCATCTAAGGGTGGGAGTAAATATTTCCTTGCTATTGTAGATGACTATAGTAGATTAGTAACAGTGTATTGTATGAAAAATAAAAATGAATCGTTCTACAACTTTAAGAATTATCATAGGCAAATGGAAAGACTGACGAATAGAAAATTAATAAGTATATGTACCGATAACGGTGGGGAATTCTGTAATAGGCAATTCGAAGGGTACTTAGCCGAAAATGGAATTAGTGTTGAACGCACAAACACGTACACCCCAGAAGAGAACGGTGTGTGTGTGTGAACGTTTTAACCGAACGGCATTAAGACACAGTTAAAGCTATGCTTAATGATGGTAAAATGGGAAAAGAATGGTGGGCAGAAGCTCTTGGCTGTTTTCGTACATACGTGGAACAGAGTATGTCATAAAAGCAACCGAACCCCTTATGAAATGTTCCTAAATAGAAAACCCAGTGTTGTTTATTTTAAAATATTTGGTTGTAAAGCCTATGTTGGCTGGCCAAAACAGATTAGAAATAAATTACAAATGAGGTGCAAAGAAGGAATCATGGTAGGATATGCGAAGGAAACTAGGGGTATAGAATATGGCTGCCAGAAGAACGCAGATTAATAGAAACCTGTAATGTGAAGTTCGATGAAAAACTGTATGCAGAAAATGGCATCCTGGAACAGAAATCAAAAACCTAAATTTAAAAGACTAGAGGAATCTGAGCTATGAGCTATTAGCAGAATCAGATGAAGAACAGGAAATTTCTAGAGAAGAAATAAAGTTGTCAAATGACAAATCTACTCCGAAAGAAGTATCAGACTTTAAACTGGCAAAGAAAAGCAGTTAAAAGGCCAGGTGGAACACGTACAGACATATATTATTATGTAGAGGGAACAGACACCCGTTTTAGATCGTATAATGATATTGAAAAGTATTGTGAGGTAAGAAATATTAATTATGAAAAAGATAAGTTTGATTTTAGTGGAAAAAACAAATACTCGGAGAAGTTAAGTTAATTTTGTAGAACAGGAGACTAGCTCCGTGTCTGAAGAGGCAAATTCCGTAGAAATTGTTATCCCACAAAATTTTAAAGAAGCACGAAAATCAGTAAATGCCGAAGAATGGGATAAGGCAATGAAAGAAGAAATTGACACAATGAAGAAAAGAAAGGTTTGGGAATTAGTTGAAAAGCCAGAAAATAAAACTATGATAGGAAACAAATGGGTCTATACGCTAAAAAGAAATGAAAATAATCAAGTGGTTAGATACAAAGCACGTTTAGTAGCACAGGGATTCAGGCAGAAAAAGAGGTGAAGATTTTGATGACGTTTACAGTCCTGTAGTAAATTTTTCAATCATAAGAATATTTTTCACTATCCTGGTATGTTTATATGGATGGACTAATTGTCAGTTAGATGTAAAGAACACGTATTTATATGCACACATCTAAATGAGAAAATATATATGACCCAACCAGAGGGATTTATCGAAGAGGAAAATAAAGTGTGTTTATTACACAAGGCCATTTACGGTCTACATCAAAGCGGCCGTGAATGGTTTTGTGAATTTGAAAGTACTTTAGAAAATCTACATTTTAAGAAAATACAATGGTGTAATTGTGTTTATAAGGGTTCAAATGTAATTATCTTGTTATATGTAGATGATATTGTGATTTTTAGTAAAGATCAATATAGTATAGATAAAGTAATTTCACAGCTGAGTAAGTTTTTGATTATCTTAAAGTATTAGGCAAAACTAAAACGTTACTTGGAATTGAATTCTTAGAGAATGAGAATAGGGTTTTTATACATCAGCAAAAATATATCGAAGACATTTTTGAAAAATTTAAACATTTCCAGATACCAATAACTTCACTTCCCATAGCTAAGGGCACTATTCTTACAAAATTAGATTGTCCATCTACAAGTGCAGAAATTGCGGAAATGCATACATTACTCTTTAGAAATCTGTTAGGATGTTTAGTTTTTGTAGCTAACAGGACAAGGCCTGATATTACATATGCAGTGAATATCTTATCACAATTTCAGGGGAATCCTGGAATTAGGCATTGGGAAGTATTGTTGAAATTGCTTGGTTATCTCAATACAGTCAAAAGTCGTTAATCCGGATTATCGATTTTTCCGGATTATAGATCATCAGTTTAAATCTGGTAAAATGGCATGCAGAAATTATAAAATTAAAAATATAAAACCGTAATTTACGAAATAAAGAACAATTATGATTTAAAGGGTATCAAAATTTACAAAAAAAAAAAAAAAGCTTAATATTTAACTGTTTACTTTATTAAACATTTCTTTCAATGTAAGTTGTTTAAGTTGCTTCGTTTTTTTATGTTATAATACATTCTCTTTAATTCTATAAACAGACATATAATTTCTTGTTCAGTTACAAAGTTCCGCTGTTCAAGTGATATAATTGCTGTTTCGAGAATACCGACTAATTTGTCAATCGAAATTTTTTCGTTTTCAATAACCTCTGTCACTTTCTTCGCTATCGGAAGCGAATTATAATGACGAGGCATTTGATTTAAATCATATCAAAGACGAGATGAAATACTACATTGAGTAAGCAATTATAAGCCAAATAAAATAAAAACATTTGCCCTTAAGATAAGGATAGTGCTGACAGATCAACTTCCAATTCAATGCACGCCGCCGCGGCGTTAAAGATAAACAAACGTTAAAGTTTAAATAAGCAAAGGATATGCCTTTATCCATTTTTTGCAGCAATTCCACTTTTTGTTTAATGGACTCCGAAAGATACTTTCGCTTTGTATATCCTTTACATATTAGTAAATATATATCGGAAATTCTATTTGACATAATCGAAAGTTCAAGCTTACTTTTATAAAATTGCTCTAACAGTCTGCAAAAAATAATAATCCGGATCCAATTCGAAGATTAAGGAACAACGCAATCTGCAACATTAACTGAAATAGATAATTAGATAATTTTAGCTTAGCTTATCCCGTCCGTTATACATTAAACGCGCATTCGTAAACGCATTTTGCACACGCAAATTAGCAGCGGTAAAGGTCTTACGCGCATGCGTCAACGCGACGCATGCGCAGAAAGTTTGTAGCTTTGAGGTCCGGATTATAGATCATTCCGGATTATGGGTGTCCGAATTAACGACTTTTGACTGTAGTACTAAATTATATAAATTAAACTTATCGAAGATTAAACATCTAAATTTGTATTGTTATTCAGATGCTGATTATGCAAGTAATAGAGATGACCGCGTAGCCATGGGAGGATTTATATTATATTTAGATGAAGTACCGGTAATCTGGAAAACTGTTAAACAAAAGTGTGTAAGTTTATCAACCATGAAAGCGGAGTATATCGCCTTATCTGAAGCAGCGAAGGAATTAATGTGGACAAAAAATGTCTTACAAGATGAAATTTAAAGTTTAATTTAAGAGAGTGTAAACTATTTTGTGATAACAAGTCTGCCATTGATTTTTCTAGATCGCCAATAGAAAATCGCCGAACTAAGCACATAGACGTAAAATATCACTTTGTTAGAAGACTAGTAAATGATAGAGTGTTTGACCTTGAATTTATCACCAGTAAATTAAATACTGCCGACTTATTTACAATAGCAGCGACTGCTGTTAATTTAAGAAAGTTTTGTTTAGATGTTTTCAGTGTTTAAAGACAGTAAGTGTTTTCGTAGAATTGAACTATGAACTTCTGTGTAAGTTTTGTTATTGTCTTTGCATGAGGAAAAGAGGGCCGTTTGTTGGCTTTAGTTTTTCACATGCAAATTTTGATCGGAGATCAATCGGCGGTAAGCTAACGTGGTTGCCGCTGATTGGCCGATGACGTCAAGATCGGCGGGTTAGCCGAGTATTATATAAATGTACGCCGGTATCGGCGAATGTGCTTGTTCTCTTGTGTGATTATCAGTTAGCATTATGCTAGTTTTCTTTCACTTAATGATTTTAAATGTAAAGGCTACAGTGTTAGCTCTTTTATTTTATTTACGGAATAAAGCATGAATTTTATTTAGATTAGTTTTAGCTTTATTTAAGGGAAGCAAAATATGCTTTGCCTTTATCACCACTGCCAACAAATTTCACACTGCTCTGCGCCGGGGGGGGGGGACGTCACGGTGCGCAATGAACTGGAAGTTGATCTGTCAGCACTATCGTTATCTTCAGGGCAGATGTTTTCATTTTATTCGGGTTATAATTCCTTACTAAATGTAGTATTTAATCTCGATGTACTCCGTCTTTGATATGATTTAAATCAAATTCATCGTCATTATAAATATCACGAATACAAATCAAATAGTTTTCTGGTTGCAATTTTCTAAGTTCGGCTATGCGTAAGGTATGCTTTACGCATGCGCGCGTTGAAAGAAATGTTTAATAAAGTAAACAAATAAATATTAAGCTTCTTTTTTTGTAAATTTTGATACCGTTTAGATCAGAATTGCTCATTATTTTATAAATTACGGTTTCATATTTTTGATATGAATTTATGATATATGATCTGTAATTCGGAATCGCCGAAGTCCCGACGAGTCCGGATTAAAGACTTTTGACTGTATTATATTTCTTATCACAAAACCTTCAATAATGATGATAATAATAAAGGAGAGTATGCTAACTGTGAATGCTAAATTCAAATGCTATAAATGCTTTTATGGTTTTATGATTACAGGTTTTACATGTTATTAAGCAGAAACCAAATATCTGCAAATTACTACACCTCCCAGCTCAAAGTGGTAATTCTGAAGTTCTTCAGCGCATGAGACGTGGTTACACCAGAGAAGCATATTTAGAATTAGTAGACCATATTAGGGAAATAATACCAAGTCAGTGTTTTCATTTTAAAACTTAAATATTTTTTAATTATTAAACAAGGCATTAACAAGTTATTAAATTAAAATTAAATTGTATATTAAATGATTACATTATTATTATTGATATTGACATTATATTAAATATTATTGTTATTATTGTTATTGACATTTTTATTAAACTAAATAATTTAAGTGTTAAATTATTAAACTAGATACTGTCTAGCAATTAAATATAATATATATATATATATATGTGTGTGTGTGTATCTAATATATTTAAACAAGCTGACTTAAGCATTTGTAATGGTTGCTGCACCATAAACATTATTTTTCTGCTTTAGGAATTACTTAACACTACTATATTTAAGAGAAAACAATTTCCCATTCACTTTTTAAAGATATTCCTTTTTTAAACAACATCATACCAGTCTCGGATCTAGGGGTGGGGGGCAAGCCGGGGTCTGTGCCCTGGGCGGCAACTTCTGAGGGCGGCAAATTCAAGAGGCGCGCTTAATTGTATTTGGAATGTTGTCAAATTTTGATGCAACATCAGTAGTTTTAAAGTCAGGTTTAAAACCTCTTTTAAGAATATTTATAATTAATTATTCAAAACTTTTGAAGCAAACAGTTTTAAAAGTAAGCTAAGTACAGCCGAACACGGCTCTAAAGATAAGATCAGAGAGAGGACAATAGAGGGACTTCAGGCGTCACTGAAAATGTCAAAGGACCCTGTCCTTCTGCCAACCCAACATGTAATTTTATTACAAAGGTACTCCGTAAACGCCTTGGTCTTTGGTCCCTGTAAGTGATGCCTAGAGCAAAGAATTTACATATCTTTCCCTTCAACTTCTTTGCATATAGTCTGTTGTCCTCTCTCCTGGCGGGAATATTCAAATGAAAAACAGAACGATAGTATAGAGGCGCCTTGTTTTTATACCAATGCCTCTTTCAAAATAAATGGAGGAATTGTAACTCTTTCCTAACACCCAATACAAATTAACCTTGGACCAATGAAATAATTCAAATTAATGTTTGTCGAGAATATACAACAGAAATGAAGTAAGGCATTTTGATTTTTTGCAGCCAGTCAGCAACCTAAGTTTTAAAAATGGGTTAATTTTTTTTAATAGTTTTTATAGATTTTTCAGATTTTTTTTTGTTTTGTTTTATTTTCTTTTAATATGCCTGCTTCTAGTATTCCTCACTATATTTAGCGAGACGCAACCACTTAGTTAGTGGGCACGTCCGCGAAGCGACCCTAATACTGTTGAATGAAATTATGTCAATTTTTAGCTTTTCTTATTAAAGTAAGTTATACTATATATTATATAGGGTGCAAGAAATCATGAGAGAGTCTAGGAAAAAACTCTCAGGGGCAGAATATAGAACCAGAGCAAGAGATAGGACTGAAAAGAGAAAACAAATTGCAGCTAAAATGAAAAATGGCTTAATGGAAAAGACGAACCGTCAGATCCTGCCGCAAATTCCGATAGTGCCAAGATTCTAAACGATATTGATATTTCTTGCAATTTGCATGACTAAGATAAGGAATCTTCATTTATCATCCTCAAACACACTTCATTTTGGCAACTGAGAGAACAACTTTCTTCATAGACCTCAAACTAACATCTAGAGGACATGAAATTAGGATATAAAGTATTTTCTAATTTAGGTGAGTGTGTGCAACAGAAATAAGACTTAAAATCTTTTGATTTGTCGGACCCAGATAGTTGGCCAATCACAGAAAAAAATGAACGATCTTTCTTAGCAGTCAAGCTGTATTATTAGCTGAAAAATATCCAACAACGTAGACCTTAGGTTCCCTGAACGTGATGGAAGACATTTAACATCTTCATTGTGGCACAGATCATTAGCAAATAATGAAAGGTTTAAAAAAGATCTTGGATTATATATTCCAAGACAATAAAAATGCTATTTTTGTACACCCTGTGAAATTTATCAGAAACATGCCACTGCCGTTAAATCAGCACTACATGATTCACTAATTGGAAAAAAAGCTTTAGAAAGGCATTTAGCACGAAATATCTGAAATACCAGAGAGAATGCATGATTAAGTGGTGGAAAGACTACAACAAATGAAATAGTGTCAAGGCATCATGACATTAAGAGATTAATTCACACAGAGAAAGAAAAATGGAGAAAGATCCTACAGGTGAGTATGAATGCTGTATTGTATCTTTCAACAAACTGTCTTTCTTTCCGTGGGTCTGATGAAACCCCTGGCAATCTGCTCACAAAGTGTCCTCGGCCTAGTCAAGGCAATTTTTTTGATTTAATGACTTTGCTAGTCAAACATAACTCTTAAGTACCAGTTAGAATTCCTAAAGAAGGGACAAGCATCATATTTAACAAAGATAATTCAAAATGAAATTACTGATGTAATGACAAAAACAGTTCGCAATAGCATTTTATATGATATTAAAGAAGCCAAATATTACACAATAATGCTCGATTGCATTCCAGATGTGTCGCATACAGAAAAAATGAGCCGGGTGATTCAATACGTAAAAAATATGTGCGGTTGTGTGTGAAATAAAGGAAAGCTTTATTGATTTCATAGAATTTGGTGGAAAGATGAGAGAATGTATTTCTCAACGGATTGTGAAAAAACTGACGCTTGATGGTTTAGACATTGGCAATGTCATGATCAATTTGAGGATTACGAATCTAACATGGCCTGCACTTACCGGCCCTATTAGATCCTGGAGTACAAGCCAGGATTACAGAAATGAATAAGCTGGCAGAAATATGTGTGATGTTTCGCTCATTCTTTGAATCTTGTCTGTGTGCCATTGCCTCGTCTTGCCCCACAGCAGTTAACTTCTTTGGAATTATCCAGAAGATATTTAGCTTTTTTTGTCGGATTCACTATTCGATGGGATATAACGAAGAGATGTACAAAAACCAACTCAAAAGGAAGCAGCCAGACGAGATGGTCGTCAAAATATGTGGCTGCGAAAGCCCTTCTAACGAATTTACCAGAAGTAATAAAATCCTTGAAAGAAATTAATTATATTTCAAAGTACTATATTACTATTTCAAAATTAATTATCTATCAAAGTATGAAGCAGGACATCTGCTACATGTTGTAAAAAATTTTGAATTTATTATCAGCCTGACAATTTGGGCTAATATTCTTCGAGAAATCAATCGAATAAATTCTGAAATTCAAATGGAAGATATTCTTGCGCGTTCCGTCGTTTTAATGGAAGGTCTGACCAAAACTTTGCAAAAAGTGAGAGAAATTCCTGCGGAATATTGGATAAAAGAATTTAAGGCAGCAGGTGAAAACAATTGAGGTTGAACCTATTCTGACAGATAAACGAATTCTAAAACGCAAAAGGAATTTGATGAATTGTGCAAGGACGAATCACGAACATTTCATCGTGTTCAGCTACTTTCTAATGCAATGAAAATTGTATATTGATCGAATCTTATCAGAAATTAAAATGAAGGCAAACAGGGCTATTACACTAAATTCAAACTTCCATTCCTTAGTGGTCGTGAAATATTGAATATGTCAACTAAAGAACTGCAAAAGAATGGAGCAGATCTTGCACGAAAATATGAGCGAGATCTCTAAACGCATTTGAGTTCTGTCAGGAACTTGCCGTTTTTAAAAAACAAGCCCCAGTGTTATTCGTTGACATAAAATAGGCTAGAGCTTTTTATCTCTTGCAACAGATCTACACCTATGATTTTCAGAATGCCTTTCACAATATTTGTATTGTCCTGCGGATTTACTCTATGTTTCCAACTACATCCGCAAGCTGTAAGCGACGCTTTAGCAAATAAAAACTTATTAAAAACTATCGGAGATCGTCGATGAGCCAGGAGCATTTATCAAGTCTCGCAACAGAAAACCAAACAGCGCATCAAGTTAATTATGACGATGCCATAGATTTATTTTCAGAACAAAAGGCTTGCAAAGTAAAATTTTAATTCCGTAATATTTTAAGAGTGTTAGGTAAGAACATAAAATTATTATTGAAATAAGAATTATGAAAAGAAGTACAAATACTAACCTTTTCCTTTCAGCAGTAGCCCATATTGTTGTTATGTATAGCTAATGAAAGTTAGTTATGTAATTAATCAGCTCATCTATTGTCCTAACTTACATAATCTATTGTTTGTAACTAAAGATTATTTGGTACTACAGTCAAAAGTCGTTAATCCGGACTCGTCGGGACTTCGGCGATTCCGGATTATCGATTTTTCCGGATTATAGATCATCAGTTTAAATCTGGTAAGATGGCATGCAGAAATTAAAAAATTAAAAATATGAAACCGTAATTTATGAAAATAAAGAACAATTATGATCTAAAGGGTATCAAAATTTACAAAAAAAAAAAAAAAAGCTTAATATTTATTTGTTTACTTTATTAAACATTTCCTTCAATGTAAGTTGCTTCGTTTCATGTGATAATACTTTCTCTTGGTAAAATCCTAGTATACGGTGCAGCCTTGGCGCGACTTTGAAAATTATCGCCAACACCAAAAATGATCCAAAGAACGTCTATATATATAGTATACACACATAGTATATGTATATATATACACACAAATATATATATATATACTATATACTATGTTTTAACTATATATTTTCTTTGAATGACCCGTTAACTACTCATCGTATATGTCCCGTTGTCACTGCTCATCATAAAGTCGCCAAAAGTAGCCAAATCCCGTGTGCACCGAATACTAGGGTTAAACCCTTTCTCTTTAATTCTTTTAAACAGACATAATTTCTTGTTTAGTTACAAAGTTCCGCTGTTCAAGTCCTATAATTGCTGTGTTGAGAATACCGACTAATTTGTCAATCGAAATGTTTTCGTTTTCAATAACCTCTGGGTCACTTTCTTCACTATCGGAAGTGAATTATAATGACGAGGAACTTGATTTAAATCATATCAAAGACAGAATGAAATACTACACTTAGTATGGAATTATAAACCAATAAAATAAAAACATCTGTCCTGAAGATAAGGATAGTGTTGACAGATCAACTCCCAATTCGCCGCGTGAAATTGATAAACAGATTTCGGATCTCAAAACATACTTTCGCTTTGTAGATACAAATTACATATTAGTAAATATATATCGGAAATTCTATTTGACATAATCTTTCTAATCTATCATAATCTAATAATGACGTTTTCTGCCCCCCCCCCTCTGCCGCAGAGCAGCGTGAAATTGATAAAACAGATTTCGGATTTCAAAACATACTTTCGCTTGTAGTAATATATATCGGAAATTCTATTTGACATAATCGAACGTTCAAGCTTACTTTTATAAAATTGCTCTAACAGTCTTGCAAAAAATAATAAGCCGGTATCCAATTCGAAGATTAAGGAACAACGCAATCGGCAACATTAACTGAAATAGATTATTAGATAATTTTAGCTTAGCTTATAACCTCCGTTATACAATTAAACGCGCATGCGCACAAACATATTCGCAGCCGTAAGGTCTTACGCGCTCTCGTAAACGCCTGTGCGCATGCGTGAACGCGACGCATGCACAGAAAGTTTACTAGCTTTGAGGTCCGGATTATAGATCATTCCGGATTATGGGTGTCCGAATTAACGACTTTTGACTGTATTCGGTTTCGAGAGCCGTATAAAATCACCAATCTATTGTTGATGCCAATGCTGAGAAAAATAATTGCAGCAACCCTAATAACTGCCGCAAAAAAGGAAGTATAGTAGTAAATAACTATTTAAGATTGATGTTTTAATTTAGGTGAAAGGTTAATTTCATATAATACTTTTTTATTATTATAATTTATATGAAAAAGGCTAAACATGACTGGATAGAAGCATAAGAGTAAATAACTATTTCAGGTCATTGTCATAATTTATATAAAAATTGCTAAACATAACTGAATGGATGCCTGCATCGCTATTTCGCTACCGACTTATCGCTAAAGCATAATTTCATCTCGTTGTTCAAACGTAATTTTCTATAATGAATGATGCCTTTTCTTTGAAAAAAAATTCTCGGTAAAGTGCAGAATCGCCCACTTATTTGTTTGCCGTTTTTTACAAGGGTCAATTTCCCTCAATTTTCAAGGGCGAATTACAAACAATTGAGATTTTTGTCAATTTTCTTTTACTTTTTAAGTGAAAATAGGTCGATGTGTACATAGATAAAGTCAAGGGTGTGCAGCAGTGCCATTTTTGTGCAATTCTGGGATTTTTTTTCTAAGTGAAAATAGGTCGATGTGTACATGGATACCGAGTATGTGCAATTCTTAAAAAACGCGTCAAGCAGGGGAGTGATTCTGCACTTTACCCAAAATTCTATTGCCAGACTTTTCGTCATGGGCAATTCCCAAATTGTTAAATCCATAGGATATCAAAAAAGGATTTAAAAATTAAACTAGTATTTCAATGGCGGCTTAAGAAATATAAAACTATATAAACTTACGCAATCTGAAATCAACAGGTACGCTAGATTTGGCGCGCTGTTAAATGGGCGCGTTTGCTAGATTTGGCGCTTTTGCGCATACATTTTCGCTGCAATTTTTTTACGGCCCTCAAAACCGAATAGTACCGATTATTTTTATTACGAGTGCATAATTAAGGGTATTGAAAGACGTATATAATTTTAAAGGTACCATAAGGTATTTTTCATTCTTTAAGCGTAACATTTTTGCTAAAATCTTCTTTAAACATAACATTTTGTATAAGCATAACTATACAAATTGCTATTATCCATCACACAATGAATGTTTCTTTTATGCGGAAGTGTCCCATTTTTCGATTTGTATGGAGGTATCGTGTGTCAAAATACTATCAGTGTGCTAAACACTCCATCTGGAGACCGAAGCCCTCGGAGCAGTGCTTCACTCGAAGTGCGGGGTTGGCCCTTCCTTTCTTTCTTACCTCCATGGTCTGGCAGTTATTGTTGCAAATATTCCAAAATTGCATATTTTAGAGAAAATGATTATTACAGTACAAAAATAGTCTTTTGCATGAATATGTAAATATTTATTGTGTTATCGGGCTTTGTAAGGACGATAGTAGAGTTCTTGAGTAGGCTACATGAAGGCGTTATTGTGAAATGAATATTTAACATGCTAGGTTAAAGTTAGTGTTAGTATCGAGACATTGGTACAAAATTACTCAGTCCATTGTATTAGTGATTTGTAATTTGCTTGTATTTGTTTAAATGAATTTTTTTATTATTTAGTAATGTCTGATTCCCATTTTTATGCTGTGCCGAACTATTTCGTATTTAGTATGAATCATTTTCTATTAGCATCATTATTAGTGTGAGTAGGTATTGTTGCAAATATGAAAAAAATCCCCATTTCAGGGTATTTAATGTAAATTTGATTATTTCAGTGCACCGGAAGAAGTAATACTGCATGAAGAGGTGTTCGCACGGGTTTTTAATTATGTAACTTTTGGTATGCATGTTTCGGCCACCAGCGGCTGAGATGTAAAGTTCTGAAGCATTGGTAGTTCGGTCAGGAAGTTAGAATCAAGGCGAATTAGCTGGCTGCATGGGTGTTTCCCGCCGTTTCGCTCATGTAGTAACTTGCATTTATGAGATAATTACTCTTCAGAAAGATCTCAAAGACATTCTTCCCTCTTAGGCAGGTAGTTCTCTTGTGCTTTGCCATAAGTAAAGAAACTAAACCATTTGTTATGTATATTTCTTTTAGAACAAAAATGGCACATAAGGAATTTCTTACTATAAAATGGATTTTACATTTTATCTCAAAAACTACCTATTTCTATGTTTATTTAAAAAACTAAACTTTGTTACAGAAACTTAAAGATGGGTAAAGGCGGCAATTTTAAGTTTTTGCCCCGCCTAGAAAAAATGCTAAATCGGGCCCTGCATCATACTACAACTATTTTTGTTTTCTACTGTTGCCACTCATAGTCTACATTAAGTTGTACAAAAGAAAAGACTATATGATTTATAGAGGTTACACATTTATCTTCATCATATTTTAAGAATGGGTTAAAAGTACATCTTATGGAGTAAATATTTGCTTGGAAATTGTTATTTCAAGGACAAAAGTAGAAAATAAATAGTACAGTTCTGCATGCAAAGTATTTTATGACATATAAAATAGAAAAACACACTTTCTTTAAAATGTTTAGGTCACTTATTCAACATTAGGAAAGAATGTATTTACCTTTTTTTAACCCTTGATGCTGTGGTAGTATACTCATTCTATGTTAGGTAATGTTTCCATAAAATGATTCATTAAGTTTTTTATATTTCACAGATGTGGCATTTACCTCAGATTTTATTTGTGGGTTTTGTGGTGAAACAGAAGAAGCTCATCAGGACACATTATCTCTAGTTGAAAGAGTGAAATATGAATTTGCATATGTTTTTCCTTACAGTATGAGAGAGGTATATAAAATTAAACACATGAAACATTGTGCATTTCAAAATCCTTTTAGCACTTTTTAACTAAAATGTAAGTGAATTTTAATGCCAGGAGAAAAAGACTTTCTATATTTGAAATATGTTTCTTAATCATAATTCTTAACTGTTTAATAATAAATCAATTCAATTAATTTATTTTAACATGCATAGCATTTAAATAAAAAATTCTTTGATTATGCATTTAATCTTTTTCAAGCAAATTAACTGACTATTATCAAAACCAATTTAGCATTTATTATTTGTTTATCTCAATGTAAACAATGTGTAATTATCAATCAAATTAATTATACTTGCTTTTTAAAATGCATACATGTATAGGTACAGTTTCAAATACTTAATTAACAAGGGGTCAGGTACATTGGAAATATAAGAAACTTTATAATCATAAATCTCTGTTAAATGAATAAATTAAAGGGATTTTCTTTTTAATCGTTGATCGTTTAACTGTGCTTTAATTATATCATAAATTAAATCTCTAATCTTTCAGTTGGCCTCTACTTTGCTTACTCAAGAGCTATTATTTCTTGTTACTGAAATAATTAGCATTTAGTTACAGTTCTTTATTAGAATAATGATATTTCTTCATGGGTATAAAGTCTAAACATAATTTAAAATATATATCAAGTCAAAAAGAAGAGGGGGGACAGTTCTGTATCTCTTGTTCTAGTCAGCCAATCAACATTTTCATGTTTCTAAAGCACAACTTAAGATATGTATTAGATTTATATACAACATTCTTCTAACATAGGTACTTGACACAAAATCAGACTTTTTCTGAAATAACATACTGGTTTTTTTTTTCCATATTTCAATTCTACACCTGAAATTATGAGAAAGTGCCAAGTTTTATAAAAATCACAGCAACAGTTAGTGTTTTTATTAATTACCACTCAGAATTTCAACTCCTCAATGTTAATTGAATTTTGTGTATATCTAATATTTCCTTTTTAATTATACTTACTTAATTTCTTCTTTCATAATTCAAAAATTAGGCTCAATCCAAAAAGAATTCTGACATTTTTTCTGACTTATTTTAAAAATTTGTATTTTTAAATTTTTTTACAAATTTCTTGAAAAAAATTTTTTTTTGAATTATACCCTAGAGAATTTTTTAACATCATCTTAATTTGGCATCTTTGTCATCAGTCATAATAATATCAAATTTGGTTTGCGCACTTTGTTACCATCTTCAGTGAATTGCCATAGTTATTTTTAATCTTAAATTTCCAAATAAAGTTATGCCCACCAGCGGCCGAGTGGTAAAGTCGCTGAACACTGGTAGTACGGTCTGAGATTCGAATCCCGCAAACGGGCTGGCTGCATTGGTGTTTTTGTGGTTTTCCTCATGTGTAATGTGTATATGAGCCAGTTTTCCTTAGAAGTCCTCCATGAAGGCATCCCTTCCCTTAGGCAGGATAGCCCTCGAGGCTTTGCCATAATCACACACAACCATAACCAAATAAAGTTATACTGAAAAGTAATAATTCATATAGAATTTATTTTTATTAATAATGCATAATAAATATTTATTATTACTATATTGAAACGAATTTTTAAAATTATCTAGAATATTAATAAAATTTTTAATCTATTTTTCTTTTTTTATGTTTGTAAAATTTGCTGTGTTTTGCTCAGCTAATTTTACTTTAATTTCATTTAAATTGAACTTTTTAATTTTGAGAAAGTTGATTTGATAAATTTAATTTAAATGAAAAATTAAAATAATTCAGTATTTTAACATATGAAACTTGCTACACAAAAGTATACTAAATAAAATGTTAATATTTTATGAACTGAAATTATATCAATAACACGTTTTAGTGAATTACACTTTTTTATCATATTATTAATTTAAAAACTTTATTGTATAATTAAAAATTTTAAATAATTAGAAAATTTTTATTGCCGTCTCAAAATGCTACCTATGAAAGAACTTGTAATCGTAGATATTCCAAAATATGTAACTTTTATAATATAGTGAATGTTCCTGAATTAATATTCTAGAATGAATGCCAAAATATGAATACAATTTGAAGTATTATGTGCAAGTTATGTTCAGTCAAAAAGCAGAGTTTCTTTTTATGGCTAGATCCAAAAACAAAGGCATTCAAAAAAAAACTAAGATTCATTATTAGATCTGTATAGATAGTTAGTAAATACATAAATTAATAATATTCAAATCTGTAATATTTTAGAAATTCAAGCTTTCTTTTTTATTCAAAAACTTAGCATTGTTTTGATTTTATATTAAATTTAATTTTTCAAAATGTATGCCTCTATCTTCTTTTCTGAAATCTCATAGTTATATAAACATGGCAAAGCATACAATAGCTATCTCTCAAAGGGGAGGGTTACTTTCATGGAGGACTTCTTAAGAAAAGCTGCTTCATATTCATATTACATGTATAGAAACTATGAAAATGCAACCAGTCCATTTGCTTAGGTTTCAACCTGGAAAGAATTATCAGTATTTAGTGATCTTTAGTGACTTGGCCAGTGGTAGGATACCCTTAAACAAGAACCCAGATACTATTTGATTTTTGAATATTTCAGTAGCAGAATTATGGTTTATTAACACATTACTTTGCTGAAATCTTTTCTTTAGATGGGTACAATTTACAAAAATTTGCTTGAATTTTCTTTAAATTGCATACCTGCTGGCAACTGTAGAGATTCCATTTATGTGGATGAGATTGATACCAGCTGTGAAAAGAGAAGCAAATATTCTGATATGCAGTTGATATTTTTTGAAATTCTTCTAAAACAATTCTGAATCTAATTTCTGAAAATGTTCTCAAGGGTATTGATTTCCACCTTCCCTGTATGCATGATTTTATTCAGCAAGAGTTATGGCGTGGATTAAATGGTTCCTTTTAATGTCAGATCAATTAAGAATGCTGTCATCCTACGAAATATCATTGTCTTTTTTTGGCCTTAAAAATGTATATTAACTTCCAGACACAGACACACTAATGGATTTAAGAGATACAATAAACAAGAATTGATGTAATGTAAATAATTGGCATAATATATAAATTTTGTAGTGTTATAGTTCAAAAATAATACCTTCTTTTTCAGCTGCAAATGCAAATATGATATTAATAAAAAAATATAGATAAATCTGAATGTAGAAAAACCATCTAGAAATTTCTGTGAAAATGTAACCTCTGATTACATGCATTGATGGAGAGGTGAATAAGAAACAACTGAGAAATCAAATTCTTTAAAAAGTTTAGAATAAATAGAGATTAAAATTTAGATCATCAACAAAACAGCAATATTTTAATGTTTGAAGAGCCTTCATGAAATCTATTTTGCCAATAATAAAACTATTATAGCAATAAAAAGTAATAACTGTTATAGCAGTGGGGAAATAAAGGGTATGATTTTCCATTGTACAATTTTTAATGATTGATTTATATTTTTTTCTTTTAATATAAGTTTTATGTTTTGCAATGTAAAACTCAGCAGAGCATATTAAGCCACTTTGACTAGAATTCAAGCCAAGAGTTCATGTTTGGGATAAAATCTTTCAGGTTCAAAGTATGAATTTTACTAAAGGGGAATGATCCAAAAGTTAAACCTGTGTAAAACGTATAGTTTTGGAACTAATTGATAAAAATAATGGAATATCTACTAAATTTTTATGATTGCTCAGAATAAAAAAACATTTTATTTTTTGTATGCATGTGAAGAAAAGAAGAATTTTAACCATGTGGTCAATAATATCAATTGTTACCAAGTTTGAGAATGCAATAAAAAAACTAACAAATTATGAGGCTAGAATTTTAATAAGATAATAAAAAACAGTAGAATATGAAAAAATGTAGCATAAATAATATATTTTTTTGGAAAACACCATGCAATAACAGCTCTTTGCAATAATCAGATATAATTTTATTAAAAATTTAATATTAGATGCAAAGTGATCAAGTTTAGATCAGTGTGATAAAACTGAATAATTTTTAATTTCCTCTTTCATTGTGTTCTTCGTATCATTAACGTAATGCAGTTTAAAGAAAAAAATTTTATGAATGTCAGAAAAAACAGAGTTGCTAATGATTTTGAACATACTGCGACATCACTTTATGTCAAAGTACCCTACTCTTGATGAAATTTTAAAGTGTGACAAAGACCAATTTGTGTCCTTAAGTGATTAGTTATCAGTCATCTGGCTGCAATAATACTGCAGGGGTTGCTAACACATTTATAAAAGGTACAAAATCACATAGAACATTTAAAAAATTTTTGTTTTTCCAGTATATGAAGCCTAAAAAAGTTGGGAACAATTTTGCTTTAGGTAGACCTTGCTGCAGAAATAGAAATTGCTAGAGCACCAGAATAAATCATTAGTATTTCTTTCACATATCTTATTTATAACCGAGGCTGAAATATTTCAAAAAGATTCTAAAATCATACAATTCATTTTACTCCATGTTCACCAAATACTTTTATTTAATAAGAGCTCTTATATAAATATCATTCTAATGTGAAAGCTTTAATGTTTTCTATTAATAACTGTGACAGTAAATAAAAGGTTTTTTTCACAAAAGTGGGAAAAGTATAACTTCAATAAAAGCACTTCAGGAAAATTGTACCATTAAATTTAATTACTTTTTATGTGTATTTGTTATTATGAAACAAAGTGTATAGTTTATATAATCAACAATAAATTTTGCATTTGCAGAAAACTCAAGCATTTCACCGTTTAAGAGACGATGTGCCTGAAGATGTAAAAAAATGTAGAGCAGATGAAGTTTATAATTTATTTCGAGCATGTGCCTTAGAACTACACCAGAAAGAGATAGGAAATTATCATTTAGTTCAAGTTTTAGGAGTAAGAGAGTTTTATTATTATTTTTTATCATTGTTAATATAAAAATGAATATATATAAAGATGTACAAACCATTCAGTTTAAGGGGACTTGTGTATTCTTTTAAAATAAAACGGAGATAAAGTCATTTATTTGTTTAAGTATCTGTAAATCTCCTTGTATTAAAAAAGATAAGGTAACTCCACTTTTTCTTGTTTGTCATATGTGTTACATTGCATATCATTATTATTACATGAGAATCTATGCCAGAATTTTGGCAGATTAAGTTGTCTTTTCTTGATCATCTTTCTAATTTTCAGTAAAATAAAAGTATATTTTTATTTACCTCGATGCCGCACTCCTGGGGTACCGGGAGTTCTTGCGTTATACAGTTGTGGATTCCAGGCGATACCTGAATAGTCCTTGTAAGCCACCTGGGTGTCTGGACTTACTCTCACCTGTATTATCTGGCATACCTTCGTACACACACACACACAAAAAAAAAAAAAAAAAAAAAAAAAAAAAAAAAAAAAAAAAAAAAAAAAAGAGCAACAAAAACTGCAAGTTGTAATTATAGTCTCTTTTTTTTTTTCCTTATTGTTATTGCTGCTCCTGTACCCATTTACATTATGACTCATGTATTTTTCATTCAATGCAGTGCATTTATGTAAATCGGTTTTGTAGTCTGTTACTGTTCATGCTTCATGCATATGTGTCTGTGTGTTATTATTTATTTGAAAAATATATTTGTGGTGTTTAAATGTTGAAATCTAAGTAAGTACAGAAAAAATGGCAATGAAAAGAAAGAAATCCATTGTATTATTGGAACAAAAACTTGAGGTGATTTAGAAAGGACGAGGAAGAGACAATGCAGAAAGTAGCTGACAGCTCTTCCAAAATGTCCTTGGGCTGCTAACAGTAGGAGACTGGAAAATGAATGAATGTAAAGAACAGTGTGATGCGCATCATGAAGCATGGACTGTGTGTTAAAGAAAAGAAATGTACAACTATAAAAAATGGAGCAAATCTTTGTACGTTTGGTTTACACGGTTCAAAGGCAAACATGGACCCATTTTAAGGCCTATTTTACAGCAAAAAGCATTGCTTTTTCATAATTATTTCAATGAAGAGAATCCAGATTACACTGCAAGTGTTGGTTGGTTTGACCAATGAAAGAACGCTACAGTGTCCATCAGTTAAGTGCCTGTGGTGAAGAACTTTCATCACATTTTGAAGAAATGAAAGCATTCAAGAAAATTGGAAGACTTCAGGAATTAATTGAATGTGAAAGCCTAATGAATGATCAGATATTTAATTGTGATGGGTTGGGCTTTAATTACAAGATGTTACCTAGTAAGATTCTTGCAGCCAGAACCAAAGTGGCAGCCTAAGCATAGTAATAAATAGTAAGTAGATAGTAAGAAATAGAAATAGATAGTAAGAGAAGGCTGACAATTTTAGCATGCAGTAATGCTATAACAAACCTCAAAGTGAATCTTATAATGAAAGTCCCAAAATTCTGGAGCCTTTAAAACAGTTTCAAATCACTCTTCGTGTAAAATACTATAGTCAGAAAAACTCATGGATGAATAGTGAAATTTTTAAAGACTGGTTCTTTAAGGAATTTATTCCTTCAACTGAGAAGTTTCCAAAAGAAAATAATTTACTGAGAAAAGCTGTTTTGTTGCTGGATAATGTTCCAATGCATCTTGATGCAGAGAAGCTTCAAGATGGTAACATTAAGGCAACATTCTTGCCTGCAGTTGTAACTACCGTATGCCAGCCTATGGATTAGGGCATTTTGGAAGTGATAAAAAGAAGTTATTGCAAAAACTTACTGTTCCCAATGGTAGAAGAAATTGAAGGACAAAACATGATTGAAAAGTTGAAATACATCAATGTAAAGGATGTTGCTTATTGGGTTGCACATGCCTGGGCCTGCATAAAAGCTACAACAATTATCAAATGATGGAAGAAGTAATGATGAAAAGGTGAAAACAGAAAGCATAGATGAAATTGAAGAAACCATTCTACTTTTAATGCAATATATCTCTGGATGTAAAGATGCGTCTTTGCAAGAAATCAAAAGCTGGACGAAGGATGATGATCAGTATGAAATAACTGATGAATAAATTGTGCTGAAAATGAAATTGAAGATCAATATCAAGCATCAACTCTTGAGTCTGGCAAAATTTCATATAACGATGGTGTTAAGGCTCTAGAAACTGCAGTTAAATATATTAAGCAGCAAGAAGAAACTACAGGAATTGACATAGTGATGCAACAAAGATGGCAAGACCTTAGCAGTTAAGAAACAGTGTTCATCAAGAAAATAGATAATGATAAAAAAATTTCTGTCAGTCATTACAGGAACTGAACTTTTAAAGTGCTGTACGTACTGTATTTAACTTCAGACAGTTCTGTCACTTAAGTTCATATTTTCAGTTAATATTTTATGTTTATTATAAAATTCATTATTAGGCTCATAATGTGTACAATTATAACGTAGTTTGATGTTTAATAGGTCTTTCTTTTAATGAAACCTCCCTATTACCTGATATTTTTGCTTATCTGGCGTTCTGCCTGCCCATTTAGATCGCATAAGCAAGACTCTACATTATAATTTGTTTATTTGCCATGAGAATAAAAAGAAGCTTTTTTTTTATTGTTTAATAGAGCATCATGATTTAATATAAGCATGCAAACAGACAGTAACAGTACAATAGTACTGAAATCAGACTCACTGCAATTGATTAGAATATCAAGGAAAAGGAAGGGAATAACCAGATTTAGTTTTAAAAATAAACTAGATGATTGGATCAGTTGAAAATAAAATCTTTCTTAAATCTTCTTCATTTCTGTAAAAAAATGTGAGTGTATAAAAGAAGTGAAAGAGTTGAAAAAATAGTTTTTCAAATAATTGTGACTTCAAAATAATGTATGTAAATATCAGTAAGTACTTGACTGACAGAATTACCCATAGTTAATTCATCAACCTTGACAATAGTAATTATTTTAGAAAATGAAGTGTGTCTAATTCTTAAATTTTAATGAGAAAAATGAGAATTAGCATAAAAATATTCAAAATAAGTTAATAATAAAAGTTAAACAAATTAGATATGTATTTTAATTAATAAAAGCTATTTCTAATACCTTATGCAGTTTTACTCAAATATTTGTTTGAACTATTAATAGTTTATTCAAATTTTTATACGCATTTAATATTTTATGCTCATATATAATATTTTAAATGAGTTCAAAAATTTTGAAAGCAAAGATGATGAAAGATATTGTTGCGTGCGTACGGGTTCGTTATGAAATGAATGCACAAGTCCGATGAAAAAAAATGAATAAAAATTTATTATTATCACCACAAAAATGCTTAAATTTTCTTCAAATTATCATGCAGTATTACAATATCTCACAGTAGTTATCTTTTAACTACTCAAATGTCCAATAGAACATAATTCAAAACAGCTAAAGAACGCTAATCCGCGAATTCGCTACAATCAACAAGAGCAGTTTTCTAAACCACAACAAACTAAGCAACTAACTACAAACTGAGATGTTTTCCTCCTTTTATAACATTTTAAAATCACACGCTAGAATTTTCCAGTACTTTCTCGAAATAAAAAAAAGAGATATTTATTTATTTAACGCACGCGCTCTTATATTTTTAATTTTCTGGCTTAGCTTTCTTTTAATATTCGACACGCGCTGCACTGCACGAGAAATAAAACCATTTAATTTATAATTGAACTAACATTAGCTTTTTAAATACCAAATTCGTAACAATATATTCCTTGTGATCGATATTCTTTGCATTCCTCTATTAAATCTGCTTTGATGTGTTATACAATCCTTCAATTGCTGAGCATAATTAATAATAATGATTTTGGTAATTTATATATATATATTTTAAATTTCATTACCATTTTCTTTATTTTGTAGCCAAGTAAGCGTTCTAACTTAGACTGGTCTGGCAGAAATGACTGGAATACTAAAGTAATTTTTCCACAACTACCGATTCCTGTTGAACAGAATTCAAGCAATTGTCAGTTGCCATCACCTGGCGATTATATAGTTGTAGAGGTAAGACACTAGAATTCTACTTCATGAGAATATAAATTGCATTAATTTAGAAATTATAATTTATGTACTACCTCCCTACTATTATTTAAGTTTGATTTTTGTTAGTGATTAAATCTTTCTTAAAAATACTTCATAGAATTATCCAAACTGATTGTAACCAGCCATTATTTCAGATAGTTCTAATTCTTATAAATTTCTTCTTAAATAATGGGGAATATACTCATGTCCCTGTATTCATTAATCAAGTTAGCTTCAGTTTTATGTTGCCATACAAATTATTTTTAAACTTAAAAAAGTTTATAAGTTATAAAAGGCATATCAAGTGAGGGAGACTATACCATAACAAAGTGAAATATAGTATCCCAAATACTCCTGATAGTGTTTTCTCACAGATCCTAACCATAAAATGCTTTGACACATACGGAGTATCAATGTTTCATTGCTTTGTCAATGCTTGATGGAAAAACATGATTTTCATTGTTCTTCCATACCATAATATTAATCCTGATCAATGCTGCCAAAAGTGGAGTTTTTTGCATTATTTGATTTGTCACTTGAGGATTAGAGTGAAATGTCATTCATATGTGTGAGAGAGGGAGATTGTTTAATATAAAGTACACACAAAAGAAGGAAAATCACAATAAATATACAAATGAAAAACAGTACACTTTATTATTATTTTATTTAATGTTAGTAATATTATCTATGCATAATTTATCAGTTACACTTAACACACTTATGTATGTTAAATACACGTTGCATACTGAACGGTATTCAATGTTCTGTATAGTTTCATGTAAGCATTCATATTGATTGCATCACAGTAGGTCTTGAGGGATATCAGCAACCTCTATACCGACAATGTTAAATTGGCCATTTTCGACGTACCTTTTCTCAAAATCTGCTATAGATACATACTTGAAATTTTTTGTGTAATTAAAGTATACCTATTTGATTATACTGAAATGAGCTTTTGAAGCATTTTGAATTTTAGAGTAATTTACAGTATATTTTGTTAGGCATAGTAAAATTTAGCACTTTTCTCAGACAAAAAAAATTTTTTAAATTTTTTTTTCTTAGTTTATCACAAAAAGCTCATTTCAGTAAATATTAGGAAACCTAAAAAATAAAGCATAAAAAGTTTAGATACCTGCGAGCAGTAGTTCGTAAGAAAAGGTACATTGAGTATAAAAAAATCACGTTTGGAGAAAAACGCACTTTTATGTAAAAATCCTCATTTCAAAGCATTCGGTGACAAATTAAAACTATATTTTTTACAGTTCTAATTTTCATAGAGATTAAAGAATGGTATTTTTGGAAAGCTAAAAGTGGAGAGAATTTGAAAATGCAAAAATCCAAAATCACCATTTTTTGAAGATTTTTGGGTTGCAACACCCCTTAAAGTCTTTTTGTTCACACACATGAAGGCACAATAATGTTCCTATAAACAAATTTGTGCTGTCTGTGAGAGTTCTGAATAATATTCATTAAATGTCTTTGAAATATTACCTCATGTTTTAATAATTTAATTCAAATTCTTTTAAATAAAAATAAATCATTAAATATAGTAACAAAATACGATTTTCATTGGGAGGGGGTGAGAAAAGTTCTGTAATACCATAAAGGATTAAAGATGTGCTCTTTTAGTGTAGCAGTTAGCACATCTGTCTGAAGACACAAGTTTGATTCGTGGCAACAGTATAGATTTCTTTTGGTTCTTTCCATTCAAAATTCCTAATGTCTTTATAGTGAAATGCCCTAATGTATTTACAGTGTAGTAAAAATCACGTTTCTGATTTATTATACTCATGTTTCAAATTTATATTTACATTTACAAATTTCCTACACAACTGTCAATAATCAAAGAAAAATCCTTCTTCTGTTAAAAATAACGATATAAAATATTTAAATTTTTAGTACACAAATTAAGATTCACTTCATTGAAAGTGAAAGAATGTTTGATTTTCATTTCTTTCATTTTAGGTAGCTTGCTGCTTTAAGTAGATTTATATTCTATTTTACTCTGTAATTTATATGTATATATATATATATATATTTGCTTCAAAAGAATAAAGTGAAGATTTTTATCTTTTTCTAATGAATTGAGTGAAGATTTTCATCTTTGAATCTAATTGAGTGAAGATTTTTATCTTTTTCTAATTTTCCTTACTTTTGGCCAGTATTTAGTAAAGTTTCGATTAAACCAGTTGAAATCCAGTTTTAATAAATTTAGAATATTACAATAAATTTCTTTCTGTAAATATAACATTTAAAAAAATCTTCAGAATCTAAATTAAAATTTAATTTTACTTCAAAATAATTTTATTCATACTTTTTTTTGAAAACATTTTCAATTTTTACATACTTAATATTTTACATTCCTTAATAGTTTGCAGCATTTTTTCACATAACATTACAGTTTGCATTTTAGAATTTTTTTATATATTTTTACAACAGAACACACATTTTACATTACTTAAAAGTTTACAGCATAGGTTTGTTTTTTAAATTGATCATAGATATGCTTTACACTCAACTTAACCTTACATTAGCGCCCTCTATTTAAAGTTTGTAGAACACACTACTTAACATCACTTAGTTTGGACAAATGCTTCTCTACTCCCCAAAAACAAATATAGTTGGTAAGTTAAAATTAAAACATACTATTCACTTGTCATTTTAGTATTAATTAAGAATAATTAATGTGTTATTTTTTATAGATAATGTCTGGTTTCTTTTTGATTTATATGCATAATTCGTGTCGGGGAAGTTTCTGTAGGCAAGAGTTTCTAAATTACTTTGTTTTTCTAATCTTATTTATTAATTTTTAATTCTGGTCTTTTAATTGCTAATTTCTCAAAATTCCACTTGTTTAAATTTCTTTTTAGTAATTCACCACATTTAGTATTACTTTTGGTTTTGACTTTTACCCTTGGCTACATGGATGACGAAACACGAATTGAATGATTAAAGATTTAGGTTTGGATGCAACTACCCCTTGATAAGTCTGTCTCCAGCCTGCTAAACAATCATTCACTTATGCATTTTTATAAATACATTTTTTAGTATTAAATAATTTTTGGAATTTTATATTTATTAATGGATTTTGATACTTGCACTTGATTTACATATGCTCTCAGAATTTAAATGATATTGTAGATTAGTTCACAACAATAATTAATCATTTATTTTGTTTGCATTAAATTTCATTTAAATTTATTAACTTTAATTTGCTTTTTACGAATAGAGAATGTTTGTTAAATTCATATATATATATATATACAGGGTGATTCAATAATATGTGGCAAGTAGACTGAAATACGCTGATTTTAGAATGGAATATGTGTGTAAAAATGGTACATTAAAGAAGTAGATAAAAGCTTTTTCCTGGCAAAATCATCATTCCCGATGTGGATTTTGAGTAGTATGTATAGCTGTACAAACACAAAGCTTAATTACATACATTTTTATTGATGGAATCTTGGATTTTATAGTTGCAACTGCTTAAAAAGTATACTTTGGAATCATTTTGTACCTCCTTTGAGTAACTGTTTCATTTTAGCTGCACTGATAAAATGCATGTTGACAAGTCTTGTGCTCATCCAGCAATGTATACCATTTGAAACTTTTGCACAGTTAATTACAATTTATGTCTAGCAGGTAGTACCCTGTACCATCTTTAAATGCCATTTCACATTCCATTACAAAACCTGCTTATTTTGGTACCCTCTACCTGCATTTGCATTTTTGCCAGATATTTTTAAATCACTGTATACAGAGAAAGATCGCCCCAAAAATTTTTATTTAAACAATTTTGAATCAAATCAGTGAAACATGAAATATTATTTCAAAGGCTTTTGCTGAACGTTATTTTAAAGTTTCTCACATTTTCCATACAGGCCTTCCATATTCCATATATATTCCAGGCGTTATGCTTAAACAACTCTGCTTATCAACTTTGCATTGTTCTTCATAAAATATTATACAACAGTGCTTTAATTTGTCAAAAATTTTACAATTTCAAAATCTATAACATCTATGTTATATCTGTAACAAAATTTTATACTTCACAGAAAAATCTCTGTAAAATGTAACATTCTTTGTAAAAGTGTAAAAAATTTTCTATAACATTTATATCATAACTATATCAAAATTTTGTATTCAAAGGAAAAAAATTAATGAAAGCTGCTAAATGAGCGCTGAAAGTGATTCAAATGGAACAGTTGCTCAATCTGTGGTTTTTTTCCCTGCTGCTAACTTACTTTATGATGCTTTGATCATGTTATTTTTCTCACGTAATTTTTACCTTTGGTTAATTATTTTAAAAATAAGTTGAATCAATGCTACTGACTAAATGCTATGAATAAATACATAAAAAAGAAATTACATTTAATTTTAAAAAATGGCATATCATTTAACAAAAAGGAAGTTTATTAGTAAAAAGGCAAAATACAAAATAACCTTTACAATTATAAAAATAAAATTTTAGTCAAGTCTGAAGTGTCAAAATGCCTGACACAAGTATTTCAATACCTCAACATTAAAGCTGTGGTACATCATCAAGTATTGCAATCACAAAAAATTTCAAGTATCATATTTCAATGGATTTATCCATTTTGACTGTTCTCAAATCCATTTGGGCAATTTTTTTTGTGTGTGGTGTCTGTACATACAAACAGAAAAAAAAGGATTCTTTTTTTTTTTCCAAAATGGATTTAAAAAGGACTTTTTTTGTGATGTCTGTACATACATCTGTATAAACTCGAAAACAATTACCCATAGAATGTGAAAATTTTGTATATGGAACTGCAATAACATCTAATTGTGCAACTCCTTTATCATTACAATCAACAGTACTGAACATGTATATACAGGGTGTTTCAGCAAATAGGTTACAAACTTTTAGGAGAGATAGATTACACCTAGACGATGGAAAAACACAGCAATGCACTGCAGCAAAGCTTTCTTCCTGCGTAAGTGGCGACATAAAACACAAGAAAGGAAGAACGCAAACAGGGTGAGATATATGTTTATTATGCTTAGTGCTGAGAAAACCAAGAAATAAGAACGAAAATAGATGATCGTCATCAAAGGTGTCTGAAATTATGTTCAAAATGTATCCACAACATAGGATCGGCAGGAATGGTCTGGTGCATTGGCCAGCAAGATCTCCAGACCTCTCTTGTATTGACTACTTCCTCAGGGGGTACACCAAAACATTAATGTATGAAACTCCTGTTTATTTGAGAGTTATATTTGTATCACTAACTTTTATTTACAGCGCTAATGTTAAGCATGAATATGTAAACATTTCTGGCTTTTTCAACAGAGTGATGACAACTATTTTTCTAGTTTCTTCTTATTCCTCTGTCAATATGTGAAAAAGCATTTTTGCATTAATCTTCCGTATGTCACTGCATAAAATTTGGTGACAAAAAGCCTTATTCAAGTTCACTATGTCTAATATCTTCTGAAAATAACACAATGGCCTTCTTTACATTCTTTATGTCGTTTTCAGTGTATATGCTGTTGAAGGCTGACTTGATACTGATACCACCTGTTGAAATTTTGCTTTCTCAAAATCTCTTATGATGTTCAAATACACAACCTTTAGATAACACTTGATTGTCATAAGATTGCTGTATCATGCTGCATATTAATATAAGTGTCTTCCCAAACTTAATGTAGAACTTAATACTTCCACTTTGCAACTCCATATTTATCACACCACTCATATAACGAAATGCACTAATACAGCAAACAGCTAGGTGTAAACTGTGCAACAGATTGCTAGGGGTAATCCTGCTACTTCATAGGTTTGCATGGAATAATTCCTATGACCATATGTATTTACAATACATGTGAAGTGACTAAATAACATCAAATTAACATATGTTAGTATAAGGTTCTGAAAATTAAGAAAGCATTCATAAGATTTTTCTGAGAAACATAATATTTTATGATTAATGTGAGTAATCAATGTAAAAAATGCATATATTTTACATTTCACCATAAAACTATTAAAAGCATTAATGTCATTATAAATTTCTTTAATCTGGACTTTCTTAATTTCTTACCTTAAGTATCAATTTAATAAGGGCATCTTACTTTATTTATGTTATTCAGTTTATAAGTGTATTCAGTTAATACACTTTATAAAGTGTTTAAAATATATTTCAAAACCCAATCAAATAAGATAGGCTTTGAGATTATGACAGTTCCAGTTATAAAACCTCTTATTTAGCAAAAATATACAAAGCTGTAAATTTTCTAGTAGAAAATTATTTCTTGTACGTATATAGATTTGTAGAGGAGGTGAGTGAGACACCAGCATAGGAAACATGGAGATATAAGCATCAGTTACAAATTCCTTTCAGTAGAAATGCTAAATTCTGAAATTTTTATATTAAATAATTTAATATTTATATTGCTTCTGAAATTAGCAGTTTCTTTTCAATGACTGAAAGTAGTTACATTTCTCGTGTTAAGCTATTTTTGCAAGGCCAGTCTTGCATTTATATAACTGATTAAAGATCTACAATAAGTTGAGGAAAAATTGCATTGTGAAAACATTGTTAAAAGCCTATTTAAAAATGAATCTTAGATGTTTTTAATAAAAGCTCTAATATGATCAAAGTTGTCTACTTCAAAAGCTTGCCTTTTTAAATTGGAATTAATATCCAAGACCAGTTATTGAAAATATGTTTGGATATCAAATCTCATTAAAACACTCTATATTATGTAAAAAAGTATATTCTAAGTTTTACTACACTGAAGTGCCACTGAATTAGGGATATACATAGCTATGCAAATTTTGTAATGCTGTATCACATTTATGCTCACGTGAGGACATTGTGGTAGCTGCTTATATAGCTAGTACTATGGCTGTTGTTAATCAGTCATTTCGTTTCCCAGTATGGGTAAAACTTCTGATTACACCTTCGATCACAGACAGATAGTAAGCGCTCAACACATGGGCCATTCAATTTCCAAAATCATCAGAGGGCTAGGATTTTTAAGGTTGACAGTGTCAAGAGTACGAGAATACACATATGGTGGGGAGGGGGGACTAGCAATTGGACAAATTGTAAGGGACAATTAGCCTTGAACGAGTATGGTATGAGATGGCTCAGCTGTATTGTACATAGTCAGCAAAGCCAAACATTAGCTTAAATTACCACCCAGCTGAATCAGGGTGCTAGTCCTATAGTCAGTGAATGGATTGTGCAACGCTCACTTCACCATATGGCCTTTGCGAGGTGCAGACTCATGAGAGTACCATTGCTCAGTGCATGCCATCGAGCAGCATGTCTTACCAGGGCAAGAGAACATAGAGAATGGACTCTAGAGGACTGGAAACAAGTAGCATGGAGTGATGATTCTCGATTCCGACTACTCAACACTGACGAGAGGCTGAGAATGGAGCATCAGGCTCATGAGCTCATGAAGGCATGGATCCTGCATGCCAGGTTGGAACTGTACAAGGCCATGGCAGCTTAGTCATGGTCTGAGGTGTTTTCTCTTAGCAGTGTTTGGAATCTTTGGTACTTGTATCCTTCAACTCAATATGATTTGGAACATAGAGTTGCTGGGCGATCATCTCTATCCATTTATGTCGTTCTGTCATTCACATAGAAATTGAGTACTCCAGCAAGATAACTGCACCTCTCATAGTTCCCGGTTGACTACTGCGTGGTTGGATGACCATTCCCCTGTTATGAACTGGCTACCTAGAAGTATTGACTTAAATCCTGCTGAGCACATTTTGGGTGTTTCGGAGAAAGGTGTAAAACCACATCACACAACAGTAGTAGCCCTTGCTGAATTATGGACAGTTCTATCTGATGTTTGACCAGCCATTCCTGTAGAATGCTTCTGCAAACTTTTCGAAGCTATGCCTCATCATATGTAGCCATTATCAAGGCCAAAGGAGGCCCAACTAATTATTGACTTTTAGTCCCTAATTCAGTGACACTTCAGTGTATATAATACAAAACATTAAAAAAATAATATTAGAAGGTTTACTATATAATGAAAGGTAGTTGAAGAAATTATTATCTAAATAATTGTTAAAACGAAATATTTCATTTTCCTTTTTATGTCTAATATTTTATGCTGACAACATGAGTTTAATAATGGGACTTTTTCCTTATGCATCTGCTATATATTTTGGTGTTTTTTTTAATTGCAAACAATTTCAAATCATAGGAATAGTTTCTAGATACACAAACACACAATGATAACCCAGATGGCACTTAGGTCTGGGTGTGTGTTTGGCTTCTCTGTCACTGGCACCAAAACGTGTAGCAGATGCATAACAGAAAGGTATGGAGTAATGTATATCCTATCATCAGGCAGGTTTCATTAATCATAATGTGTATCTGAGTTAGATTTAGAAAAAAGATAATTTTTCATTTAACATTTATGGTTTACTAATTTTCATTTTGTAAAGAGTTTATAAAAGGGTCATGTACAATATTTTTATAATATTATCACCTTTATAATATTACTTAATTGCATATATTTCCTTAGATTATGGATTGTACTTCTCAAGTTTTAAAAGGGAAAGCTCTGTACCTAACTTCACTTCAGAATTTCTACAGCAAAATTCAGAAAAAAGCTTCTGTATGTATTTGATGAAATAAAATAGTTATATTTTATACCTTCTTAGCTTTATATTTCTGAAACTTTCATTTCTTATTACTTAAAGATTTTGTACAGTTTAGTGGAACAAATGATTCTATTTTCGTTATTCTGTGCCATGATAGTGAGTTATATGAATGCATACAAATTTATTTTGCAGATTTAAAAGACATATATATGTAATGGGGCTCTAAAAATTACTTTTGAGAAACAGAACTTTTTTAGATTGGACTCAAATCTGAATAGGACTTTAAAAATTGCATTTGTTCTCAAAGCTATAATGCTCAAAATTTATACGAGTATTACTTAATATTACTTAATATACGAGTATACTCGTATTACTTAAATATTTAATACAAAATTTAGTTATTAATATTTTGCATAGTATAATTCTTTTATGTCTCAGTTCTCATGCTTTTTCTGTCAAAAAGGCTTTTCTATCACTAAGCTTTTTTGAAGGAGAGAGATATATAAGATAAAAAATATGAAAGTAAACTTCTAATTTTAATTGGTAATAGTCTCTTTTGTTCTTCACATTAATTTTGGTACTTTCCCTTTCTGTCCTAAAAAGAGTAACTATTCATAATATATCAATCCTAAACTGAGTCATTTCAAAATTAATCAGCATCATAAGATCATATCTAATGCTGCAATTGAGACACCTTTTTATCCTATCACTGAGCAAGATAAGAAACAGAAACTTTTTGACACGACACCAACTTTGCCAAGTTATTACAACAGTATAGCCAAACCTTAAAAGTATAATCACCATATTAAATACCTATAGTTAGAAATGTGTTTTCCTAAGTATGATCACTTCTGAAACAGAATTTAGTGAGATTTAAATTGATCTTTAAGATTTCCTCACAATCTAATCTAGAGAAAGGCGAGTAATAATATTTTATTTACTAATTTTTGATTTTTTGAAAGAGCTATCAATTCAAATTTAGTTTCATGTAGAATCAGAAATTAAAACAAATTTTCTTCACTTGTATCCATATCATAATCCTCCACTGCACTTATCATAATTTGTGCTTGTAACTAATGAAGCAGAAAATTACTCTTTTGTAATAAAATTAAATGGGATTCCATGGGGCTGATCAATTAGTGATTTAATTCAACATTTAAATTTGGAGCATTCTGCAGCTAAACTGAATGTGTTTACACTTACAAGCATCAAAGATGAGAATGGTTTGGATATGCGAAAAACTATGGATAACTAGTGCATAATTTCCAGAAGAATGGGGAGGAGAAATGACAGTATTTTTTAAAAAAAGGAGAAAAATTCTAGAAAAAATTATGAGTGGCTATTTTGATGTAGTTGAATTTCATTGTAGATATAAATACAAATTACACAAGATAGACAACAACTGAAAGTTCTTTTTTCCTTCCTTAAAATAGTAGTATGGTATACTAAATATAAAAAATATATTAGAATATTTTCACAACCATAGTTACATTAATTGTAGTAAAAGAATTTAATATTCCAGCCTTTCTTCCTAATAATTTTTTAATATACTCACACAGCCAATTTTTAGATTCATATAACAGTGCCTAGATTTCCTATAACACAGTGTAACTGTTTGGGAAATTTACAGCAAGTCCTAGAAATGAAAAATGTCCTATTTATGTATCTGTGTTACATTATATGTAAATTTTGTTCTTCAGCAGAAGCATAGTAGGATTTTGACAATCTACACTCATTTTCATAGATTAAAAAAATCAATTTTTAAAAAAATTCAGCAATAGGTTTTTTTATACAATTTTTTAAAATTTGTTTCCCAATGGTGCGCACTAGCCTATAACGGCATTGGCCACTCCTAAGGCCAGAAGTGGTGGCCATTTTATTGTGGAGGCATCCAACGAGATATATACTGGTAGAGAGCTTATAGCAACCTCCGACTGGTTGCAACATTAGTGTCACGTGACTGCTGGTCGAATTCCGAAAGTCCGGAAATACTTTACATTCTTTCTATGGGACGAAAAGAAGCCTGCTCTGCTTGGTCACATAAAATTTAATAAAATGGTTAGCGCTGCAGCGCCTATGTATGTAAAAAAGTTTGTAAAAGGGGGACCTGTACCTTTCATAGCTAAGTTTAAAACTGCATGATTATTATTTTAGCCAGTATTTTTGTCATTTTACTTCTGTTGAATTGGGTTGGAAAGTTTCAGCATATTGTATAAGAAAATTAACCGCTGTAATGACTTTTCACATGTATTAATAGATCAAAATGTAATAAATACTGTGACATTATTTACTGGAATCACCTTTACAAATAATTGGTTTATGTTCTTTTTCCGTGTACTCCGTTGAAATAAAAAGCTGCGCCAATTGGCGCTACCTTTTTTTTTCGCCAATCGTACGCGTTTTGGTTTCATAACAAGTACTGCCTGCAATTAAAAAAAAAAAAAAAGAAGAAAGAAAGAAAAATGCTATTATTATTAAATATTGAGATAAGATTGTGCGATATGTTACTTTGTTAAAAAAAGAAAAGCTATTCAAAGTCTATAATGAGCTGAAAATTTTACTATTATATCTTAGCTAATATGCATGAATAAATCCTAAATTTTTTTAATTTAGCTAATGCATAGAATGATCTGGTAAAGCAGGAATAAAGTGGCAGTGAATTCGAACTTACCAAACATTATAAGGAATAAAATGGTATTAACTCGTTAATTCAACAGATTGCGTATACTTAAAAGTGCACCTATTTAAAATTAATCACTTCAATATTTGATTGCAGAGTTTTGCTTTCATAGTAATATTTGTTTAATTTAAGATTTTTAAAAACCTTTTCCTTTAAAAACTATTTTTTAGCAACATAAATATATCATAACTATGAATTTTCTTTAATTTATAATGAGGATTACATGTGTATTAAGATATTTAGTAAGAGTTAAATTAAAAAAAAAAAATTCTTGAAAAACAGGCCTTAACTTTTTGTTGCATACAAACAGTATATATATATAGTTTGTCAAAAAAAAAAAAAAAAAAAAAAAAAAAAACCATCAAAACTATATCTGATGAACTTTTGCAGGTTTGAATGAGGCTTTCATCAATTATATCTTTACTAGTTTTTACTTTCTATTCATAAAAGCTTTTTTTTTTTTTTTTTTTCCTTTTTCTGTGAAAACAGTCAGTTTTATTAAAGCCCTGTATTTGTTAAAATAAAAGCATGTATTTTAATTGTAGTTTGTATTTTATTTACACTTTATGTATTGATTTTTAAAAGTAAATATCACATTCTTTATATATCATAAAGATTTCCATGGTTTTACAAGCTAACTTTTTTTAAAAAAATTATATTATCTCAAAAAAAAAAAAGGTCAAATTTCTCATATCAGAACCTTATATAGGGTATTGTATTTCATAAAGTTCTTCATGTAGTATATAATTAATGTGTAGTTTCTATATTTCAGCCAAATTGTGTGTTTTTGTTTTAAAAAGCTCATTACTTATTCACATATCAAAAATAGGAAATTTGGAATATACTTGACTACCAGTTTGAGTAGGTGATTTTTGGTATTTGTTCCCGATATATTTATAGTAAATACTATATTTAAATGCACATTTTCGTAATCTGTTTATTTAATTGGGATAGAGGAATAAAATATAATATGTATTGTCATGTTTGAATTTATAATTCTGTAATAAAATTTTATTTTGGAAATGTACATTTTACAGCTGATGTGCAAAATATGAAATCTTACTAAATTTAATGTATAGCAGCATACAGTTAAGGCAGTAGCTTCCAAGTTTGCATGAAATTATTTTCTAGACATTGCTAAGTTTATAAGCACTTCAATATGCAAGTAACTGAAAAAAAAAAAAAAAAAAAAAAAAAAAAAAAAAGGCATTTACAATCAGTGAAAGATTTTTTTAAAACTAAACATTTTATTTACTATCGTAAATTTCCAAAATGCAAGTACTATTGGTAACACTGAAAGGTCAAAGGTAAATGAAATTGTTCCAAAAACTATTTCTGACTTTAAATTAAGTAAAATTATGTTTACTTAAATATAAGAAAGTAAAATATTTTTCTTGTAATAAGATTTCAGTATAATTTATCTTTTTGTATCATAAACTATATTATAACTTTGGATCAGTAATAGTTTATAGTTCCAGCTTGAAAGTTCAACAGTCTGTAAGTATATATTTCATCAATAGCATAAATACATACAATGTGATTTTCTTTTCTCTTTAGGATGCAATGCATTAAAAATAAACGAGATTTTTTTACCTTCTCAAATATTATAACAGTAGTGCAATTAATTTTTAAACATTATTCAAAATTAAAGTTTCCTCTCAATTTTTTTATTATTTAGTTTAGATTTTCTTCCTAAAATTATTTAACCTAAACATCTTAAATAATGGCGCAAATAATTTAAAGCGATTATTAAAAATATAGATAAAATATTCAGGAAAAAAGGGGTTAAGTTATATCTAAAAATAATTGTAAAAAATCCAATAACCTAATTCGAGGCCGTTGTCTGCCGACTGCCAGCAAACGGAAATAAAAAGCACTACTAGCCATATCAGAAGCGCGCCAAACTGGCGATAAACAGCCTAAGCTATCACTCCCCAAGAGCGCCAAGAGCTTAAGTCACGTGGTATATGTTGGAGACATCCTAGCAGACGAATTGTCTGTGGGTGAGCCGTCTACCTGTTATATGAAGTCGTTGGAGGCACCTAATAAGCGGCCACCGTTACCTTCTATTAAGGGACAGACAATTTTACATCCATACCTTCTCTGGGACTTGAACCCGAGCCCTTCGGTATCGCAGTCAGGCTTCTCTAACCACTATACTGTACTATACCGTCTGGACAGCTATAGTACAAATATGCTTTTATATGATATATGAGCTTTTTAACACTAATACATTACATTTACAACTTATTTTAATTTTTTGTTATTGGAGTTACTCAACACATTCTGCACATACATCAGTGTTCTCCAGTTTTACTGTAAATGCACACTGTGAGTCCGTAGAATTTTTTCATTTTATATAAATTATTACTTTTGGAGGTAAATTCTATTGTTTTAAAATTAATTTTCAATTTATGTGATTTGTACATGTAAAAAATTTATTATCTGCAACATTTTAGGTACCGAGTTCCAAAACAAATGTGCTTTATAACTGGTTTGTTTACATTCTGTGAAATGAGTCAGCTGGTTTATTTACATCTTGTACAAAGAGCAAGCTTGAGCAAATAGGAACAGTTTCTTAAAAGTAACATTTGAATGTTTTTTCTTCCATTAAAAATCATAGAGGACAGAGAAATTTTCTTATTTAAAATTTCAATTCTAGCTTTTTTTTTTTTTTTTTTTTTTTTTTTTTGTGAGCTAAAACTGCACATGCGCAGAACATAATGAGAGAATTAGCATGATTACAAAAAGAAAATCTACTGCTGGGGCTTTTGTAAACTATGTATTTATTTATTTGTCTATTTTTCATTCTTTTTTAAGAGTCCAGAAATTACAAATGTAATTTTCTTAGTAAATATATTTTTTGGGACGACAAACAAATCTCCACCATTGGAAAAAATAAACTGCACCACCAGTAAATTATAGTTAAAATTGTCTGATGTGATAATATCATACAGTTGGACATCTGCTAACAATGTAACCTTGAAATATTAGTGATTTTGTATCAGCATCATCTATTTTTCATATGAAAATGTCATGTTTTTAGCCATATGAGCATCATTTGCAAGTAATTTTTGATTTACTTCTTTATTTGAAGGAATCTGCAGCTGAGGTGCATCGATTGCTTGTGGAAGCATATTGTGAGGCTGCCTTAATCCTTTATTTCCCTATATGACTTTAAAGTCCCATCAATAAATTTAATAAGTTATGTCCCAATGAGATTTTTAAACCCCAATATTAAATTTTTTAAAAATGAAAAACTTGTAAAATGTTTTTAAGTTTAATGTGAGCTGTTTTTCAAGCATAAAAAAATATAATAAAGTTACACACTCATTAAACAAAAACTAATAATAATGTAATTTGGGACATAAAGGATTACATGAGAGAAATAGTAGCAAGTGGTTTGAAAAGTTTAAGAATAATGAATTTGACGTTGTCAATAGAGAATGTTGCAGAAAGATGAAAGTGTACGAAGAAGCGGAATTGAAAGCATTATTGGATGAAGATTCAATGCCAAATACTAGCAGAACTTGCACTTACATAAGAGTGACTCAAAAGCAATTTCACTTCATTTAAAAACGTTGGGGATGATTCGAAAGTAAGGAAATTTAGTTCCATATGAATGGACACCAAGAAACGCTGATTTTTTACATGTGAAATGCTGCTTGCCAGGCATAAACGAAAGGGTATTTTGCATTGTATAATCACTGGTTATGAAAAATTGATCTACTATGATAACCAAAACAAGAAGAAATCATAAAGATCACCTGGCCATGCTTCAACATCGACAGGTAAGCCGAATATTCATGGAAAAAAATCATGTTGTGTATGTGGTGGGATCAACTTGATGTCATGAATTGCTCAAAATGAAAGAAACCATTACTGGGGCTCTCTACTAAACACAATTTATCAGACTGAGCTGAGTACTCAAAGAAAAATGCACCCGCTACTACTCCAGACATGACAAAATTATTCTCCTGCATGATAGTGCTCATCCACATGTTGTGGCACCTACTCAGAAACACTTCTATCTCACACTGTATTCACCTGACATTGTTCCTTCTTATTAGTACTTGTTTCAGTTGATGATGCATGGCCTGTCTGAACAGCGCTTTACACCATATGAAGATAACAAAAATTGAGCTGATTTGCGGATACCCTTGAAAAATGAAGCATTCTTCCGATGCGGTATCCATATGCTGCTAGTAAGATGGGAAAACTAGTGGCTGGCAACAGACAATACTTTTGAGTGAAACCGAATGTACCATTCTTTCACAGTATATACCCAGTTTTTGATAAAAAGAAATTATGGAGACTTATTTGTACTCCCGATATTTTCATTTTTATTTAAAAGTTTTAAAATGTTTCAGTGCATTTTTATAGTTTCTTTACTTCTTCAACTAATTTCCTTTTCATTTATCTTATTTCCTCTCTTATACATTTTCCCTTTGCACTGATATTATTTCCTTTCTATATAAATATATAAAAAATGTAATGGTTTTGTAACCCATAAATTTTGATTAACTAATTTTTAAGACATAAGCACCTTTTAGTTAGTTATTTATATGCAAACAAATTTTAAACAAGCAAACATGTAACTTTCAAAATTCAAACATTTAATTTAGAAAATAAAAAGGGGAAGTAAACAAACAACAGAAAGATGTGATCTATAATCTGCAAAATTCTCTAATATGCACAACTTTTGTTGCAAAGATGTGTGAATTATTGGAATTCTACTGTATTATTGCTTCAAAATTGTTCTTAATATTACAGTTTACAGCGGTTTCTAAACAATCTTTGCTGTTACGGTTTCATTAGTTTTCTCACTGTAATTCAATTTTTTGCATTGTTAGAAGACAATGTGTACCTGAAAATTAGCACTTGGTTATTCAATATTGTTGTTTGAGCCATAACATTAGAAATATGTTGCATGACATCAGTATTATAAATTTATTGTTTTGATATTTAGAGCATCAATACCTTTGATACTTTGAACTGAAGCTTTTTCATGATATATTAATAGTGATAATATAAATAATAAATTTTTCTTGCCAAAATGTGTGTAAATAAAGAAATCTATATTTATAAGCATTGGTCTAGATACAGACAGTACATTCATTAAGATGTGTTTCTTCTGCTTTTAACTTTACAATAAATGATAAACTTTAATAAATGATGTTTGCTGTGGCTTGTCAGTTCACATTGTATTATTGAAATTGTAAAAATAAATTACATTTTTCTTGCCTTCACATACTTTTCTTAATTTTTAGCATATATATGGAAAACTTTGAATTTTAATGCTCAACTTTTGATTAGGAAGAGCATTTAAACAAAGCAATATTACCTATAATAATATTTAAATCCATCAGTTCTTCCTCTTCTGAGAAATATGTAAGCATATTTCAAGTAATACAACTTCTAAATAATAATGGAACTGCACAGAATATTCCATTCTGGTGTTTCTTCTAGATTTTCCTATGGATCCCCAGAGATCCTTATGACCGCTGAAGGGTCTATAGTGAATTAAAATTAATTTGGGGGGGGGGGGGGTTGAAGAATGTCAGAGGTCCACAAATGGTTTAATATAAAATAAAATCATTGTGACTCATTTTCATTACTATGAAAGTTAAACAGTAATATATAGATGGGGGGGCAATTTTTACGTTCTGAGTAAAATAAAAAAAAAAAAAAAACATATCCTTTTTCTTTTTTTTACAGACAACAGAAGGAGTAAGCTCAATTAAAAATGCAGACAGTATAATGTGACATATTCAAAATATGGCTTTATTCCATTACCAGGATACAGTGCTTTATCTATGTCATTTCTGTGTTACAAAACTTTGCAAAATGAATCAGTGAAACTTATTTGGCAAAAATCCATAGCAACAAAAGATAAAGATTTAACTTGTTTTAAAACTGTCAAAGAAAAATATTTGAGAATACTGTCATTGCAAGAGTTATCTCAGCAATATGATGAGAGTGCATGGTTCTTATACCATTTCCTCACTAACTGCAAAGTCTGGAAAGCCATACATCATTGGTGAAGAACTTATTAGTGAAATAAAATACGCACTGTGCTGCATAAACCAGCTTTTGATATTATAAAAAGAATTCCATCAAGTAATAATAAAAGTACAAAGAAAGATTGACGAAATGACCCAATGCATTGAAAATTCTTTATGCGAGTACTTAACATGAATTTTTAGCTTATAAGATTTGTGAAAGAAAACATTTTCCAAGAATTGTTATTTTTTTAAATGTTTGGCTACTGATACAAAAGAAACAGTATTTAATGAATTAGAGATTTTTTTTTATAAAAGTTATATTTTTGAGTAATGTTCTTTGTTACTGGCTGTCCTCTGGCATACTTCAAACAAGCTATATTGAATGTATTATTTGTACTTTGTGTCATTCAGCAACAACATTTAGTTGCCAAAATTCATAGTGAAAGCTTACATGGCTCACTAAATTATATCATTAGAGCAGTTAATAAAATCAAAAGGAATGCTATAAATAGGAGATTATTTGCTTAACTCTATTTGGAAAATGACAAAGGTTATAATTGTTTACTACTTAGCATGGGAGTTCGTTGAAAGTGCATGTTTGGATTGATTTTATGTATTCTTTAAATCAGTGTTGGAATCCCTGGAATAATTTGTGGCTCAATTTATGATTCAAAAAAATGACATAGCTTGTATGACTGAGTGATTTGCCAAATTCAGTGAAACCAATTTGAAGCTATGAAGTAATCAAACCAAAAATATCTGCATTTATTGTACAACTTTTTCTAGACAAACAAAACTTGGGGAGAGTAGAATGCTCTCAGCTTTCAAATCTTTCAAAATTGCAAAAATGAGATGAAGATTTAATTGATTATTGTCAATACTTAATGGCTCTACATTCTGATTTCAACGAAAGATTTGAAGATATTCTTCCCTTGGTTATTATTGATTAGATGCCTGACCCTTTTGCAAGTAGATCCAAACTCAGATGAATCCATATTAATATAGGCGCAATTTAATAAATAATCTGCAAATGAGGAGATGATACCAATGTTTGAACAAAGATATTACAAATTCTAATTACAAAAACATACCAATTTTATATTTTGGATTATGGGTCACTCTACAGAAGCTGTTGATTACTTTCCTGCAGTTTTCTATTTAGTAAAAAATGATTTTAGTGCAGTTATGAGCTCATCACAAAATAAAGAAACTGACTGGAAATACAAATGTTACTCACACATTTAGATAAAAACCCTCATATCATCTCATTAGTTTGCAGATCTCATTGAAAAGTAATAATGTGTTTTTGTAAATATCAAAATGTTTACTTAGATTTTTTTTAATCATCATTTACCATTCAAGACATCAAAGCTAAATTGTAATTTTTCTGTTATGCAGTTATGAAGAGTTATTACATTTAATGGTTTATGGTCAGGATTTTGTCATAAGAGGTCCATGGGCATAGTAATTATTTAATCTATCTCTTCTTCTGTCTTAAAATCTTGTACTTGGAAAAACAACATTTATTCCAACGTGAATCATTAAATAATAATGATTTTTGTTGGAATAAACTTGTGAAATGAAATCTAGATAAAAAATAACAAACTTTATTAAGTATTATTATGTAATAATCATGTTCAGCAAATCTAACAGCAATTAATCTCTAACAGCAATTAATCATATATTAATTGTAATTAGTGTTCAGAAAACTCATTTTTAAAGAATCTATTAAGACTATCTTTTTCATTAAAAAGGGAGTGTGTATCAATAAAAATAGACCTTACATATACTACATATTTTATGCATATTACAGATATTACAATAATTAATGCAAATAATTATTATGGCTATTAATTTTAAATAGTACTGCTTAATAATAAAATTAAATATTTATCTTAATAATTAAATTCAGCATACTTGTGTGTGTGTGTATATATATAGACATATTCAACGACTATAAATATCAAGAATTTCTGTAAAATTAATCTTAAAAATAAATAAAGTATAATTTCTTTATATATGAGTAATTAATCCAAATATTAATTCAGATTATTTTATCTTAGTATTTTATACTTTTTCCCCATTTAATATACATAACCACAGAATATAGGTTATAAAAACAAATTAATGTAATAAAAAATTATTAATAAAAAAAAATTATTGTCTCTGAAATATATATTCAATATTTTTTACACAACTAACACATGAAGATGGAGATGAGATGAAGCAAACGAAGTTCAGAAGAGGGTTATCAAGAATATGAAATTTGTGAAAGGATGTCAAAATGTATTCATTTTCTGCTACCTATTATAATTTTCATCATTTTGATATCTTAGATTGCATCAGATTCTCTAAATTATTTGTTTGGAAATATTTCCTTGATCCCATATTACCTAATTACAATCTGAAAAATAAATAACGTTATTATGCAAAATATTTTTGAAAAACCTGTGAGAAATATTTTTGCCAGTTAAAGGCAGAAATAAATATGTATAATATTATATAGATGTATGCATTACAAGATATTGAAATATTTATGGTGTAATGTACTGATATGTGTTATTTAAAATAATGATTGATTTTTCTTCTTCAATCCTTATTAATAGTTATAATGAGCCAGCATTTAATGAATAGTATTATCAGTGGTTCTCAGTCTTTTTTGCTCCATGCACCCTTCTGCCAGTGCTAGATGAATATTTCCCCTTTTTTAAAACTCAAAAACTCTAGTTGTTTAAATTTAGATCATTTTTTAATGTGCTTCGTATATACAAGAAAAAGCATAGAAAATGTTGATAAATGTGAAAACTTGAATAGCAGTAGTTTTTTTTTTTTTTTTTTTTTTTGGTGTGTGTTCCTAAAGTAAACTAAATACTTAACAAGTGAATGAAAAGCTGATCATACCCTCCCTGAGACTATGAAATTCACCCAGTTGAGACATGGAGGTAGGAATAAAAGAAGACACCATCCTTGCACTACAGCTGATGCAGTGCTGCTGAGCTCTTGTAGCTGAAGAAGAGTGGTACTTTTGTTTACATCCAGAGCATGTTACCTTGACAGCGGTTTGATAGTACTTCCACACAAATCTAAACGTGGGGGACATTTCCGCATAAAAGAAACATTCATTGTTGGATGGGTAATAGCAATTTAACTAGCATTTATGCACAAATCACATCTTGTTTATCTTTTTCATAACTTGCAATAGTGATTTTGATTATGAATTTGTTTTATAAAATTCTAAGCTACTGGACTACAAAAATATAGATTTTAGCAGAATATTTATGCATAAAGAGTGATAAATAAATACTTAAGGTACCTTTAAAATGCCAAAATATTGCAAAAATGTAACACGTTTTAAAGCTCAATTTCCTAATAAATAACTGGTTATAATCGTGAAAATTTGTATACTTCTTTTCATTGCCCTTGACAGTCAGTGTATTTGCTACTTTTATTTTTTGTTCCAAATATAAAAATGTTTTTAAAAAATACATTTTTTTGTAATCCACATAATATTGTAATATGCAGGCATAAGAGTTGCTCATTTTAAACTGATCATTTTACTTTTATATAACTGAAAAATAATCACTTTGGGTTTATATAGCTTAAGTGAAAAACACGAAATTACCTCGAAATCAGGTAATCTTTTCTAAAATTAATATATATTTAGACAGATATGTAATAAGTTATCCTTCCCTTCACTGGTAGCCATATATTTGTGTAAAATTGTGTACCGAAATAGTTGCCAATTTGGCAGATGTGTCATCTGTGGTCAAGGTGATGTAACCATGTGACATGCCATATCATCATGACAGCTTATTAAGAATCTGAAAATAGGGTGATCAATGGAATTGAAAAGCTTTGTCTATTGTAAAAGATCCTATCACATATTTTAATCTAATCCCTAATAAAAGCAGAAGAGATCGAATAGTGGTCTGCTACTTTTAAAACGGTTTCAAGATACAAAAAAATCATCATCAATGTTATTAATCAGTATATCATTGCATTTTTATATTGTTGCATTTTGGATTACCTTGCAATATGTTAATTTTGGGTATTTGTGAATTTAGATTATTTAGTTGTTTTAACTCTGTGAAAAATTGCAACAATGTTGGTATGCAGAATACAAGAATTAAAATAGTGTTACCAAGAGGGCTGTGTCACTGCTTCAAAGCAATGCATAGGAAAAACCAGTTTGGGCTTCTGCTCTATTTCCTACCATCATGGGTTGAGAATCGCTGATATATATATAATTGTTTCATTTCCCTGACAGAAATATCATAGTTCACTATTTATGCTTATGACTAGATTCTACTGTTTAAATTATGACAAAACACTTTAGGGAAAAGAATGCCTTCATGGAGGGCTTAAGTGAAACTGGCTTATATTCATATTATTACACATGAGAAAAGCCATAAAAACTTTTATGTAGCCAGACTATTCACTGGGATCTGAACTGAAGTCAAATTGCCAGTGTTAAGCAATTATACTGCTCAATTGCAGGTGAACCTGGTATTTTTGCTTAAAAAGTATAGACAACTTATTTTGGGGCTCAATTCACTGTTACTTTTCTCCATTTTGGCTAAACTGGGTTTTCATCAAGCAGATTGTTTCAGCACAGTTTTACTGCAATTTTTATCTGTTATGATGACACATGTTAGTAATATTGAGCAAACCCATTTATATTTCAGAAAGTTTGTAAAATGACAAAAATTATAAATAAAACCTAGTCATGGATTGATAAAATATTATACAGAAATTTATACTATAACTAAAGTTTGATGCGGAATTTGAAAATGATGACAAAATGTAATGAAAAACAATGACATAATGTTTTACCTGAAATTTTAGTGCCAAATTACAAGGAAAATTACATCAACTCTAAAATCAGCATACAAGGAAAATTACAGTCAACTCTAAAAGTCAATTCTCAAAATTTAATCTTCTATGTGTATAGAACTTAGAATTTAAATAAAAAAATAGCATTTTAAAAAATTAATGTTTTAGTATGATTGATTGGATATTTTATTACAAAATGAATGATGTTTATTTTTGTCTACTTTAGAATTTTTATTTACATAAAAGGTGATTTTAGTGCCTCTAGTTTATAAAAATTTGAGGATTTACAATGATAATGGATAATGCAATTTCATTACATGTTTAACTTTTTATCATGTATTTTATGCTTACAAAATAAAAAGTCTCAAACAAAGTTAGATTAATTTCTTAAAGAAAATAAGCAAATGACTGTCTGAAACATTACATACCAATATACCAATAATTATTCACTTAGTTGCAGGCATATTCATAAGGCAGCATTTTTTGCCTTCTCATTAAAATCAAAATTTGGAAAAAAAAATTATACCATTTTTGTATCTAATTAATATATAGTACAAATCTGTAATCTGGAATCGCCAGGACTTCGGCGATTCCGGATTAAGGGTTTTTCTGGATTATAGATCATCAATTTAAATCTGGTATGATGGCATGCAAAAATTATACAATTAAAAATATGAAACCATAATTTATGAAATAAAGAGCAATTATGATCTAAAGGGTATCAAAATTTAAAAAAAAAAAAGCTTAATATTTATTTGTTTACTTTATTAAACATTTCTTTCAATGTAAGTTGTTTAAGTTGCTTCATTTTTTTGTGCTAAACGCGCATGCGTAAAGCATACAAAAAAGAAAAAAGTTTGTGGCTTTGAGGTCCGGATTATAGATAATTCCAGATAATGGACGTTCGGATTACCGACTTTATACTGTATAAAATTTATGAATGTAAAATTTAATGTTTATGTATATATAGTTTTCTTTTATTCTCACTGTTAAATTATAACGATAGTTTCTATTCACGTTAAGAGTTTAAGGATTTACATATTTCTATTAGGTATTAAAAAAGGTCAAAATTAATAAACAGCATAAATAAGTAAAAAAAATACGAGCTATTATTTGCTCATATTTTAATACACAGCAAATGCATTCTTCATTTGGCTAGTGATCCTTTTGAGATTGAGAAATCATTATTACTTCATGTTTTCTTTCTTCCTCATCAAAATACAACAGTTAACCACAGCATGGAAATATTTCAGAGGATACCAGTTTCATAAATTTTATTTTACTTCAAGTATATCAGAACTAAAAGTGATAATGAGGGTGCTAGATCTGGGTAGTATGATGAATATAGCAGAATATCTCAGTATAGCTCTGCAATTTTCTGACATGTCACCATAGCAGCATGTGGTCTGACACTATCATGATGAGTTATGACGTTCTTTTTTTTAATATCGCCAGCCTCTGTTCTTTGACTGCTTATATCTCCTAATTCAGCTTTTATTAGATTTCAAAGTCATATTATACTGGTCCTCAGATGTGCATATACAGAACATTCTCTTATTTAGGCTCAGGCTCGTTTTAGAATTGGACGGGGCAGGTTTTGCATGCTCATAATATGCTCTTTTCCTAACAATGTTTTCACTAGGAGATTGCCAATTATCAACCAATCCAAGAAGCTTTCGTTTTTATTCTCAGCAAGCAAAGATTTGCATATGACAACTCGAATATTACAATTCATATTTGACAGAACATGCAGGAACAAAACTGTATCTTCACTAACAACTTTCATTAAATTTTAACATGCTTCTATATCATTTTCCCTTGTTAGTTTATACAAAATACAGTATCATGAATGAACTTTATCAGTAGTCATGTTTACATGATTCCATCTTATTTAATAATGATATGAGGCACTTTTGTTTCAGTTTAGAAGAACACATATGTATAAATGCAATAATAAACAGAGGCAGCCATATATGTCTCAAATGAACAAGTGCATGCATGTTCAAACTTGAAATAATGTAAATGGACAGAACTTTCCAGCACATCTTACATAAAGATCAGCCTTTTCTTATTTTTAAAATGATACAGTTGGCAATTTTTACAGTTTCAACCACAGAAGTTACATTATGCTAAATATTTCAGATATTTCATTTTATTAGGAAGAGTAACAGATACATATTTGCATGGCAGAACATGAATGTTAAGATACAAATTAAGACATGAGTGTGTTGTATTTAATGAATTCATGTCTTTAAAAGTTTTTAAGCTAGGTTTCTGATATAACCATTAATCAATATATGCAGTTTTATATACTAATAAACAGTAATTTTTCAATTAAAATTCCAAAAATTAGTGAGTGAAAACATGAATTTAGATGCTAAATTAATGCATACTTTATTTTAAAGTTTCCATTTTTTGAGAAATTATTGAAAGGATTTGTATTCTGTTTTCTGAGCACTACACTGTATGTTTAATAGCAAAATAATAAACACTTCATCATTCATGGGAGAAAGTGCTGAATCACCCACTGCTTTACATGTTTCTCAAAATTGCTAACTTGAAAATATTAAGTCAAAGAATTGCACAAACTTGGCATTGCACACTCCTTTACTTTGTCCATGTACACATCGATATGTGCCATCTAAGTGGACGATTCTGCATCAACTTGAAAATAACAATTCAAATAATTGCACAAACTCAGTATCCGTGTACACATCGACCTATTTTCACTTAAAAAACATCAGACAATTGCACAAACTTGCCACTGCGCACTCCCTTTCCATGTACACATCAATATGTGCCATATAAGTGGTCGATTCTGCACCTTACTCCGCTCATGTATCAAACAAAAATACTTAAGATTACACAGAAATATCTTTTATAAAAATTATCATGTGAATAAAATTTTAAAAAATTTACAAAGTATAATAGGTTTTATACAAACTATATTGTGTGCATTTTAAACAGTTTATTTTAAACCTTATTGGATGGTGAGAAGCACTAAAAGGATGAATCACACATTTCTCAATAAAGCTGTGAGCAAATGAAGAGTTGCACTCTGTTCACTATTATCAAATATATGCTACATTTTAAACTCATTATTCATTTGGAAACAGAGTTTCTGTTCATTAATGAGATTTAAATGGTTAAGAAAGCAAAGCTAAATACTGAAATTTCATTTAAAAGTCTGATTCATCCTTTTATCAAGCCACTGTAATTCAATTTAGTTATTTGATATTTTCATCTAGTTTCTACTATTTTAAGTGACAGTTTTACATATTACAACATAGTTGCTAACAATTTAATATCATTTATTATTTTTTTACTATATATCAATGGCTCTACTATATTCACATTAGTAATAACTGTTCTCAAGCTATTAGTTCCATTGTAGTTCACACGCTTGGAACATAACTTAAAGATAAAAGATTTAAAATGCAAATCTGATAAAATATCATAATATTTATCCATATTACTTTCTTTAATTTTATTTAATTCTTCACTTTTAAAATTAATCATACCTTCTGCTTTTTCTTCAAATGCCATGACCCTAAGACTTCTAGAAAAATCAGCAAGGATTAAAGGCAAGAACAACTGCCAGCTGAAGGCAGTATATATTTTACTGCATTTATCACATTTATATAAGCCATTATTTAAAATGGTAACTTTTCTATTACAATCTGCTAATGGACATGCTGGATACAGACATTTTTCCTTTCGTATTTGAATTACAGTTGCCTTAGTTGTATAATAAATTGGTTTATCTATTTTAATTACATCAGCAAATGTCTTCCAAGGTGCAAATTCAGAAAAAGAAACTTGTTGAAATTGAATAGAATCATTCAAATTTTTAATCCAGAGTTTTAAATTTGAGGCTTCTTTTATAGAAGGATCAATAAAAAACATACTACATGGCGAAACATTTAATGAGAGACCACCATAATCTTGAACTTTTGCATTTTTAATTGCAATTACAAAATTAAGACTTTTTTTGAAATTTTCAGCTTCTGCACCCCACAAAGTAACAGTAATAACACTACCACTCATATCAACTAACTGAATACAGCGCTTAGAAATTTCTTTGCCATTCCTCATTGATATCATTTCAACATCTGATTCTTTGACACATATCCCAATAACATCCACAAATGAATCTTTAGGACATGATGCAATTTGTTTTATGTGAATAAAGTTAAAACTCAGCATGGGTACAGTTAAATCATCAGTCATCACTTGTTCTATATTACTATTCCTTGAAAGTACAATTTCGTATTCATGATTAACACATGAAATTTCCCTAGCTATTTTTACAGAGCCATTACTTATGTAATAAATATTATTAATTTCTAAAAGTGATTGAAGTTCCACAGCATAATTATCAAATCCAACTGCACGAATGTCACCAGTTTCATCTAAAAGTACAAATGAAATAAATTTTCCATTTCCTTGTTTATTATCATAATTAATAAGAGTTGTTTTATAAACAATTCTAGCTTTTATTGTCCACTTACTATGATATGGTGTAAGACTTAAAATAGGAAAAATAAGTTTATCATCACATACTTTATTACTATTGCAGTTTTTTTTATAAGATAAATTTTGTAGAGTACTTTTTTTAACTAATATATCTCCTTCACTGCTTAAAGTATTCTTGAAAAAATTAGTAGATGATGAAGCACTTTTATTGAATGTATCACATGGAAGAAAGCTTGAACAATGAGCTAACAATTTATCATTTAGTTTTACGGGTTCTTCCACTTTATGACAATTGAAGTTCTGTTTATAAGACAGATTTTCTAATGCACTTTTACTGGGTAATTTTCCTTTCTTACTACTGTCTGAATTATTTATATCCAGTTTAGTAAGTAATGATGCAGTTTTAGTAAAACACAGGTTTTGAGGTGAACTGTCACAAAGAAATATATTTATCTCATTGCTGTTCGAGCTGTTTACAAATGATTCAGATGATGATGATGTACATGGCTGTGCGAAATTTTTGTCAGTGTTTAGTAATGAAACCTCCTGTTTTACTTCAGTGCTTGGTATAAGGATTTCAATGTCTAAACAGATTATAATTTTCAAACAACTGTTTGCATCCAACAACTGCTTAAATGCATAGTTTTTCAATTTAAATGTCGAATGTTTTTTAAGTTTATTTGTCTCAATCAGATAATTCAAATTAAAGGCCAATAGTGCAGAAGAAAAACGTGTTACACCATCATATAAAAGCAATAGAAAGCGATCTTTTCCCCCATTACATACTTTTTTATAATCTAATATTTGTAAAACTGCGTTTTTAACTGTGGCACCATCAAGAATCTTAGTTAAAACACCACGAGTCAAATTGTGCATAGTGATGCGAAATAGTTGTTAACATTTGTTTTAAATGCAAGGATATCATTTTCCAACAGGATTTAAAATCAATTATTGATGAATAACTGAAAACCCATCCACGCGAAAAACACAAAAAACATAATAACAGGCAGAGTAATCGGAATTAAAAATAAGTAATACATAAGCGTTGTCATTATAATAATGTCGAATGTATTTTAATTTTTAAACAAAACTCGTAAGAAAGAAAGAAACATACATATAGATATTTAGGAAAATCAAACCAAGGTGAGAACATTATCAAAACACAATCATGTGATCGTGATCGTATCACAGAACTTTATACTGCGTGATACGGATTTATGTAAATAAAAAAGATACGGTTAGACGTGAGGTAACTAGTTAAACTAGAGTAAACCCTGTTCTCTAGTGAAGCAGCATTTTACATGCAGAGGGGGAGTGGCTTTTCTTTGCATGTTACTACGTTTGCAGAATGCGATATAAACTATCCTCTTTGCTACCCGTAATTTGATAACCTCGACTTTTCATTCGTCTCATTTTCATTCCTACTGCTCTCTACTGTATATATAACACTGTACAAAGTTTCTTAGTGATTATTTAAATATCACGTATTATTATTTGTTTTAGTGTATATATATTTGCTAACTCCTATGTATACTTTCATAGGTTGCTTTAAATTATCATAGTTTACTTCTGACATTTTGGCGCATTAGCTGCACGTCACTGACTCCACGCGAGATGGCTGGTTTATTTTGCTTTATTTGATCACGGCAAAAGCGAGCAAGGACTTAGCTGCCTAAAGGAAGAGATTCTTTTGTGTAAGACTTTCTAAGGGCAACTGGCTCGTATCCACATTACCCACGGAGAAAACCCGAAAGCGCCCATTTGCTTGAAATCAATTATAGACCAAACTACCAGTGTTCAGCGACTTTACCGTTCAACAACTAGTGGAACTCCGGTGGCTGCAAGTTCTCTACATTTTCATGACACAGGTGTCCGTTCCCACAAGACTGTAGTCTCCCTTATATTTTTTTATTCTAAATGTTAGTATGTATGTGACGTGCTCTTTGGGCATGTGGATCATCATGATTATTCATAGCATTAAATAATTCATCAACATCCGTCGAGAACTTTAAGGACATAACACACACAAAAAAATATTTCATGACTTCAAATGCGCATCATTCGACAGCCGGGCTGTATTCTCTGTTTCTCCCAAGCGACTTCTTAGGCTGCTATCACACGTCGGTTTGTCTCGAAAGAACAACTGTTTGGAAAGATTTTTCTGCTTTGTCCCAACAGCCAATCACCACAGATCGCTTTGGGGTTAACACAGGGAAAACTGGTTCTACAAACAAGCTAACAGCATTCGACACTGATAGCTGATTGATTGAAACCGAACAACTTGCAACTTTTTACGAAAGGAAGGAAAAAGTCGCACGTCTTTCTTTCAATAGTAAACCAGGCAGAAAAATTGTCCGAAACAGTTGTTCGTGTGAAACAAACGCCGTGTGATACGGACTTTAAGGTTGTATTTATAATCAACAACACTAGGGCAAAGCCAAATAGTTATCTATAAAGCCTTTGGCAAAGTATGCTTCTTATCGTTACCATGACTCATCACCACAGAGTCCCCTCCTTCCAGTTTCTTTGAAGGTAACTTAAAGGAACGACATCGCTTTACATACAAGCTTCGACATCGAGGGACATGCTTTATTTCGTATAGCCTTTATTACGAATACTTTGCCAACGTTTTTTTTACCCTAGAAGCAATTGCTACAAGGACTATTCTGCTTTTATGTTATTTTTTCATGCTACTTTTTATCACATATCTTGTTAGCCTAGGATAGGGCTCTGGCCTAGGAACCCGTGTCTCATGGCCTGTGGCCACCTAAGAAGAGGAACGACATCAGATTAGCAAAGATTTCAGAGAATCTGTATTGTCAAGGTTTTTCGCCTTAATAACAAAATTAGGCTGTATAATGAAAAGAGATAAAAATATGATTTAACATATAATAATGCTATAATGCACACATATAGAAATGAAATAACAATAAATATATTACAAAGCAAGTTTTTAAAATTTTATAATTGTAATATATAAGAAGCAAGTTTCTTTGAAAACGGACATGTCTTGTGACAATTATAATATTGTGACAATTTTTGCCCAAAAGAATTCGGTAGCAGATTGTTTCTTTAGAACCGTCTTTTAAGTCTGCAGTTTGTTTGGGTTGAGACAAATCAGAGTCCAAAAGCAAATAGATTGGTTTTACACGGTCGGTAGAAACAATAGATTTATGGTCGATTATTTCAATTATGAAAGTACGCGATGTTTATAAATGAATGGTTTGGTTTTAAAAATTAATAATAAATTCATAAACCTACACCACGGAAAAACCTACACCGTAAGTATTGTCAACTACCCAAGTTTCTCATACTGCGCAACCTCAGTGTCAGTTCCAAGATTGCGTTGCAACAGAAAAACGAAAAATGCTTTCTGTGTGCTCCGTTTTGAGGTACAATGCAGATCTCTGGTTACAATGGAGCATGAGTTTCGTGCACGGTTTAGGAAAGTCCCACCACACAAGTAACGTAAGTAGGTCGTACTGACAGTTCGTGAAAACTGGATGCCTTTGTAAAGGCAAATGATTCGGCCGACCTCGTGTGCCTGATGCAAACACTAAAAGAGTGAAAGAGGCTTTTCAACGAAGTCCTAGCAAATCACTTAATAAGGTAAGCAGGGAATTGGACATTCCAAAGGATATGGTATGGAAGGTGTTGCGAAAGCGGCTATGTTTTAAACCACGCAAAGTGGGATTAGTGCAGGCCCTTACACAAGCAGACAAAGTGAAAAGGCGTGACTTTTGTTAAGAGATGTAGTTAAAATGGAGGAAGATGGTTTTGTAGAAAGACCCATCTTCTGTGATGAAGCAAGGCGAACAAACACAATACGCGATTCATTTCACCTATAGGTGGCGCTTTCACACATTAGCGTGACGGATAAAAAACGGTATGTGATGTGGCTTTGTACACCTGAAAATGGAGTAATTAAGCTTTTCTGGAATACTTGATTTTGTTCAAGGAGGTGTAAAATCTCGCTGTATTACTGAAGCAGAAAGAATTTTAAAAGCGAAACATTAGGTAATAAACTGCATTTTACTTGAAAATATGGAACGTACAAATTGTGGCTTCCTGTTTAAAGAAAAGTTCTGTAGCATCCTCACCTCATAAAATCGAAGGACATTTCATAGTTGAAAAAGGGAAAATAAAAATAAAAAAATTTCTTGTTCATGTGAAGGAGGATCTGCTGGCTGTAGTTGTGTGGGTGTTTTATTGTACTTGCAATAGGCAGCTGATTTTAACATTTATTGATTTTAAATAAATGATTTCATGCATGTGTAACCTGAAATTTCCAGAAAAGCAGTGCAGTCAGAAGTGACTTTTTTAATAAAAATTATATTTAATTGACATATAATTAAAAAATAATTTAATTAATTTATATGACATAAATTATATTCAACCTATAAAAGCGTTTTCTATTTTCAAGCAAAAAATAAGCATTTAAAAATAAAATAACTTTAAAAATAACTTAAGTTGTCTTTTAACCAGTTTTGCTTTTCGAATGCAGTTTTTAATTATTAACTTTATACTTGAGCCAAAAATTCAAGAATAAATAAGTCCATTAATTAATTACATTGCATGAACTTCATCATCTTTGAATATGAAACTCTGAGCTAACCCTATGAACATGAAACAACCTATACCAAAACACTAAGTCCATTCCAACCTAATACAAGAATAAATTATATTTATCAAAATTCACATGTTTTACACAAAGAGTAGAAGCCAAGCCTCCACATAGAAAAACTTCACACTGCACACTGAGATGATGGTCTTGTACTGAAAGAGAATTTTAGCAACATGGATGTTATGAATTACATTACAGAAAACAATTATTTAAATTTCCTAAATAAATTATAGCATTTAGAATAACCAAACACACACAAATATCAGATTTATTGTAAAATTGATGTCATGTCTTTCACTATGCCATAATAATTTAACACAAAACTAAAAAGTATCTACATATTTTCTTGTTAGTCATGAAAATTGATGTAAATACTGTCAGACTTACGAAAATTATTCTAACAGATATTTGGAGCAAAAAGATCTTTCTTTTTGAATTACATAATCAACAGAAACTACTTACAGATATAGCACATAAAAAACTTGACAAAATATGAGTTGAAACTGTTGAAAATTTGGGAGGAACAGATGCTATTTAGTTACTTAGATAATTAGCAAATAATATTATTTATTAAGGATTTCTCAGTCGTATATGTAACCAAGGTGAATTCGTGAGTGTGTTTTGATGTTATGCTTCCATTATTGGGGCTAACGTACCTTGTTGTCAGATTTTTTTTGCCAAAAATTGTCAAAGGGAGAATAAAAATACTAAGGCTTGAAAATTATCACCAATATACCATAATATCTTTGCGTAGAAATATGATACCCAACAACCAAAAATAAATTATAATGCCATAATGGTTTCAAGCGAAATATATCACAACTCTTAGATCAACAACTATAGTCATTATATACAACAACCTTTTCTAAAAAAAAAAAAAAAAAAAAAAAAAGAGGCATAAATTATGTTAATCAGATAAGTTTGTAGTAAGAGCTTTGAGCTTTGCTATCTGGTCATAAATTCTTAAGCAAACAATTACAAATAAACCAAAAACATTCTACCTTGAACTATTCATTTAATAATTGTGACAGAACTTGATACTCTTCTGTTATCAAGAACCAAATTCACAAATGTATATAAGTATGCGTGTATATATGAATGGATGTGTTCATATACGCATGCATATATGTACGTACGCATGAATTTTTGTGTATCTACGCACACATATACATACATGTATTTCTGAATCCAGTCCCGATAACAGAAGAATGCCCTAATTTTTCTATATATAAAACATAAAATTTATGTATGTATTTTTTTATAAGGAACAATATTTACGACTTGAATCAGTTGTCATCAACTGATGTAAAGTGACAGTTCAAAACAAAAGAATAATTATATAGAATTAAGAATGTAATGTATATTTAAACATTTTTCTTTACTGTAACTGAGGGGCTCACCAGCGGCCGAGCGGTAACGTCGCTGAACACTGGTAGTTCGGTCCGAATCCCGCGAACAGGCTGGCTACATGGGTGCTTTTGTGGTTTTCCCCATGTGTAACGTGTATACGAGCCAGTTTCCCTTATAAAGTCCTCCACGAAGGCATCCCTCCCTTAAGGCAGATATCCCTCGAGTGCTT